CCCATCAGTTGCTTGAAAGAGTTGAGAGTATAAAACACCTGATTTCCAATCCGTATAAGAATGCGAAGTGACTAGTCTATCTTTTGACTTTTTCACATATGAACAAGCAGCAAAGGAGCATGACAGAGCAATTAAAAATGCTAGTGCACAAGTTATAGGGATGAATACTTTCGGGGCAAGTAATCCTCGGGGTGAATGGCGCTTTTTGATAGAGCATGCAGGAAGAAGAAATTCTGGAATTCCACCACATAGCCTATTATTTCCAAGGATTGAGACACCACTTGCATTTGAAAAGATCCCTTCTCTAGGCAATTCACCCTCAAAATTGTTATGAGAAAGATTGAGATGCTTAAGAGATCCAAGATTTCCTAGAAACTCTGGAATTTTCCCTGATAAGTTATTACGCGAAATGTCTATTTCTTCCAAGCCTCTTAAATTTTTTAGTGTTTGAGGAATTGATCCTTCAAGTTTATTACCTTGCAAATGAAGACGCTCCAAACTAATACAACGGCCGAGGGTTCCTGGGATTTCACCTGATAACTTGTTTTCTGAAACATCTAACTCCCCAATACTTTTCAGATCACCCACTTCATATGGTAGTGAACCAGTCAAAAAATTGTTAGATATGGATAAAGAAATTGAAAGGGATGAAAGCCCAATAACCTCTTTAGGAATGGTGCCATTTAGACTGTTACTTGAAAGGTTAAGTATCTGTAGATTTTTGCAGTTCCCGAAACTTGGTGGTATACTTCCCCCAAACTTATTCTCTTCCATGAAGAGCCTTGTCAATGAAGTCAAGTTACCTAGGGAGGATTGAACTGGCCCAGAAAATTGGTTAACATTCAACCATAAACCCTGTAACTTCGGAAGTTTCCCGATTACATCAGGGACACTACCACCCAAATAGTTGTCTTCTAGTCCAAGAAGGGTCAAGTTTATAAGATTTCCAACGCCGTTAGGGATGCTGCCATGTATCAAATTGGTCCCCAGAGTAAGAATTTTTAGTTGTGTAGAAAGGTTGGCAATTGATCCCGGCAATTCTCCTCCAAAATGATTACTATTAAGACCCAACACCTGAAGACTAGTACAATTAGCTAGGAAACTGAGAAAATTCAGGTCACCAGTTCTCCCACTTCCTAGTCTATTTTGATCAAAGTTGAGCCTAACTAAGCTCTGCAAAGTTGCAAGATTTTCAGCGGGGAGTGGCCCAGTGAGTCCATTTTCAGCAAAATCAAGCACTTGAAGTCTCGAAGCATTGGACAATGACAGAGGAACAGTTCCAGTGAACTTGTTGACCCCACCGGCAAATACTTCAAGATTAGGAAGAGTAATTCCCACATTAGGTGGTAGCTCTCCATGCAGCTGGTTTTTAGCAACGGTGAAGTAGAATATGGATGAAATATTATAGAGTGAAGTAGGGATCATACCAGACAGATTATTATCCCAGAGTACAAATCTTCTCAAGTTTGTTAGACGCCCAAGTTCATTGGGTATGCTTCCTTGAAAATTGTTGATAGCAAGGACAAAAATTTCCAAAGATGAAAAGTTTCCTATCCAATGTGGGATAGTTCCAGTGAGATTGTTAATACCAAGACCTAGAGCAACTAAATTCAACAATGAACTGAGTTGGTTAGGAATTGACCCAAAAAGCTTATTGGAACGAAGATCGAGTACGCTTAGTTGCACACAGTGAGATATATTAGATGGAATTTTCCCACCAAAGGAATTGAAAGACAGGTTGAGATGTTGCAGGCTCAGTAGTCGACCGATTTGTTGAGGAATTTCACCATGAAAGCTGTTGTTCATCAGGTTGATTCCAGTAAGATAAGTAAGATTTCCCAAAGAAGGAGATAAGGAGCCTACCAATTTTTGAGCTTCCAGGTTCAAAACAATGACCCTTATCGTGGCAGGGTTGCACGTAACGCCTACCCAACTGCAGAGATCAATGGAATCGTTCCATGAGCTCATGATATGGAAAGGATCTTGAGTTATTCTTTTTTTGAAGTCTAGCAATGCCAGGCGATCAGATTCATTTCCAGAAGTGGATAGTGTTGCAGATTGCAGACATGTGGTCCACCATAAAAAAAGGGAAAATCTAGACAAAATCTGGCTAGAATGAGTTTGTGAGTGTTCCATCTTGTTCTGAATGCAAATTTTATGCATGGAGAAAATCAGAAACCAAGTCTCATATAGATGAAAGTATAAATTTCTATCTATCTATAAAGCCAAAGGGTTTGTTGCAGGATCACACAAATAGTAAACTATTAATTACGGATGGTCCCAGAAATAATCAATTTATTATAGTGATATGGTTGAATGCTGTCTCAATTACAAGAGGACTCTGTCTCTTCATTATTGGAATGGTAATGTACAGCTTGTTTGAATTTCATTATGGAGCTGAGATTTTTAGTTGGGGAGCCATTATTAGTCTCAGCAGGCCCAACCATTGTGGTCCAAAATATTAAATTCATCATCATGGAGAATAGTTTTCTAGTTGTTAAACTAGATGTAGCTTGAATTATTGGTTTTTCTCTCATGTGTTCTTGGTGTGGATTGCTTATCCACGTTTCTGTACAGTTTTCTGCTGTGAAATAAAATTTCGTCTTTTCGTTCGAAAAAGAAAATGAGCAAAAATGTTGATTGCATGACCGCAAACACTTGAGAAATATGAATGAGAGAAATCTATTGTGGTGATTTGGTTCAATGAAGTCTTCAGTTTTAATTTTATTATGTAGATGATATTTTAGTGGTGGGGAAGCAACCACTGCTGTCCAATTTTAATTTCATTATGGAGAAAAGATTGTCTGGAATTGGAAAGCACAAAGGCTTGTTACTCGAATGTGACTCTTGCAGGTTCCTATTAGAATATAGAGGAATGCTAAGCCATGGCTGTGAATTGGTGATTGCTTAGACCATCTTTGAGCATGTCATCGGTTCGGTTGGTCTTTTTCCGCTGAATATTTCTAGCTAACAGTATCCCATAGCTATAAACATCTCCCGTATGGAAACTTGGTCTCCCATGCCGTACTTTCAAGGGCGGCCCTGGGGACAAGAAAGCAAGGCGACCCCTAGGACCTCCAAATTGGGAGGGCTTCAATTTATATAATTCATTTATATACATACTATACTATGACATAAAAAAGAATTTGTCAATGAGGGTTGGTTCAGTTGGTAAGGTCCATGTACTATGTTGCCCTGTCTCAAGGTTGAGTCTTCACTGGTACTGGTGGTGAGAGTAGCCAATCTCCCTCTAAACTTTTACAAACCAAAATAATAATAAAAGAATTTATATCTAAAATTTATGTTAGACCCAATTATTAAATCCAAAATTAAGAAGAGCCCAACTCAAAAAATTCCCACTAAAAAAAGAAAAATAACTAAAAGGACAGCTTTGACATTGTATACCGTCGTCTATTCAACAAAATTTGACATTTGAAAAAGGACAACATTGACATGTATTGTGTAGCCCCATCTAGTAAAAGGACAGCATTGACATTGTATACCGACTATTAAACAAAATTTGACATTTGAAAAAGGACAGCAATTGACATGTACTGTGTAGCCCCATCTAGTAAAAGGACAACATTGGCATTGTATACCGTCTATTAAACAAAATTTGAAATTCGAAAAAGGACAACATTGACATGTACTGTGTAGCCCCATCTAGTAAAAGGACAGCATTGACATTGTATACCGTCTATTAAACAAAATTTGACATTTGAAAAAGGACAGCAATTGACATGTACTGTGTAGCCCCATCTAGTAAAAGGACAGCATTGACATTGTATACCGTCTATTAAACAAAATTTGACATTTGAAAAAGGACAGCAATTGACATGTACTGTGTAGCCCCATCTAGTAAAAGGACAGCATTGGCATTGTATACCGACTATTAAACAAAATTTGACATTTGAAAAAGGACAGCAATTGACATGTATTGTGTAGCCCCATCTAGTAAAAGGACAACATTGGCATTGTATACCATCTAGTAAATAAAGAGGACTTTCTTAGAGCATTTCCAGCGTTGAATCTTAGCCCAGGCAAGAGGGGGCCTAGGCCCACAAATGCACTTCTAGCATGCAAATGCAGCCCAGACAAGACGTGGGGGCCACCAATCTAGGCAAGGCCCAAGGCAAAATTAGCCCGTTCTCTTGCTTGAGGGTTGTGACGTTAGTGCACAAATTCAAATTTTTCGTGGAGAACGCGCACGTCAAGCACGCCAATAATAAAAAAAAATTCAAAATTTCATTACTGATGCCAGCCTGGCGTCAGCCTCGCTTTCCCTCATGGATAGAAGCCACGTGGAGCTTCCTATGATGTCCAATCCATTCTTTCTACTCCAATCCAATGGCTGCCAATTTTTGGAGCAAATTGCTATCAACGACACACTAAGAATTGAGAGAGACATGAAATGAGATGAGGCTAACAAGACAAGAGATGAAGCATTTGCAAATGAAATGGAGTACGCACACAAACAAGACATAGACAAGAAAGATTGGGAAACCATGGCCAAGAATATGAGCTATATGTTCCTTGAAACAAAGTCATTTTGGAAGCAAGAACGAAGGGATGTTACGAGAAGAAGGCTTTTCCGTGACAATGGACCTAGCAACACGAATTGGTTAAATGATGAAAACCATTAGGTTGTATTGATAGAGTTGCCATTTCTTAATTAGTTGTATTGCTTGTCTTTTATTGAATTAGTGTCATTTCTTAATTAGTTGTATTGCTTGTCTTTATTGAATTAGTTGTATTTCTTGTCTTTTATATAAAGAAAGCATTCAATAATATAGCTATTTATTTAAAACATTGCATACATCAAAACAAAGCATAATTCATTACAAAACACAAAGAAAGCATAATTCAAAACAAAACACAAACAAAACATAATTCAAAACTAAGCATTAAACTTGACTTTATTGACCGTGATTGTCTCTCAACAACCATAAGTACTCAATCAAGTCAACTTGACGTCTTTCGTGAACATAAGAGGATTGTATTTATGTACAACGGTCAATCATACGGATGTTGTAACGATAGTCCTTAATTAATGGTTGGTGCTCCAGTGGTTGTCCATTTCCTCCTTCAGGTCGTTCATAAATTCTTGTCAATGTCGTGTTTATGGGATCAGATTTGAACATCTATGGTTCATCATAATCATACTCATCCTCCACAAGCATGTTATAGAGGATGATGCACGTCATCATAATGCTTCAAAGCATCTCTTCATCAAACATACAAGCAGCCCCCCTAATGATTGCCCACCGAGCTTGGAGGATACCAAAACACATTTTCACATCTTTCCTACAACACTCTTAATAGGCAACAAAATAAGTTTCCTTCTCCGATTAGCGATGAGGAATTGTTTTGACAAATGTCGTCCATCTCGGGTAAATTTCGTCTGCTAAGTAGTACCCACATAAGAGATGGTATTATTGATTTCACACGTGATATGAGGGGCTTGACCTCTGAATGCATCGTTGAACATCGGGGATTGACCGAGCATGTTAAGGTTATTTTGAGATCCTCCAACTCCGAAAAAGGTATGCCAAACCCATGTATTGAAAGATGCAATGGCTTCTAGAATGATACTTTTTTAGCCATTCCTATTCCCATAATTTCCACACCAGGAAATTGGGCAATTCTTCCACTACTAGTGCATGCAGTCGATGCTTCCAATCATGCCTGTGAAACCTCAAGCCTCGACTTTTTGTAAAAGCCTGTAGAGGTCCCTAGGCGTATGTTTGCAGAGTTAATCCCTCGTGTAGATAGTTTCGATTGCATCATAGAATCTGACCAAGCTCTCTAGGATAGTGGATTTCCCCATCCTAGCAATCTCTTCCACCTAGTCTGCAGATGCACCAAATACAAGCATTCCTAAAGAAGTTGTAAGTTTTTGCTCCAGAAAACGACCCAAAACCCTAGTACGTCATACTTCTGAACGAAGTATGCGTCATAATTGCAAACATTATGTATGATTTTATTGAACAGTTGGGGTTGAATTCTATATCGCCCTTGAAAATCAAAACTAGAGTACAACCAATTTGGGATAAAGTAATTGTCCAATAGATTCTTACCCCTAGACTGCCTACATCTATCCACGTTTCGGCCACGACCAGGTTGTGAACCACGGTGGTGTTGGCTTGATTGATCGAGCATACCCATTACCATGACAACTTGATCATCATCTGATTCCCACTCCCTTTCTTTTTCAGCTCGTTTGTGCATTATGTCTTCATTTTCTCACTCGGCCCTCTCCAACAATGTCCTCGTGTAAGACATTGAAAGTAGAATGTGTTATGTAAAATCTGAAAAATGAAAGGATAGAGAGGATATGGATGATTGCTGTGAGTTGAGGTTGTGGTTTTATAGAGGGATTTAGAAGATAAAGATGACACGTGGCGCAATTGTAGCAACTGAAAATCTTATCCGAAATCTGAGATGTGAATTTTATAATAAATATAGACATGTGGCAATCGAAAATCTTATTAAAAAATTTTATTCGAAAATCTTGTCCGAAAATTTTATCCGAAATATGAGATGTGAATTTTATAATAAATATTGACACCTGGCAACCGAAAATCTTATCCAAATTAATCGTTTAAGTATAAAAAATAAAATTAATTTAAAGTGAATAGCAATTGCCTTTTGTCATCGCAATAGGTTGGAAACCTAACTTGCCTTTTGTAAGAGCTGACACTATTCACATAAATAGTAACTTGCCTTCCCTTACCCTTTGCCATGACAAATGGGTAGAAATGTTCTTAACATAGTATAGAAAATGCACTGGTGCTCTTTATACCTAATTTTTTTAGCATTTCAAACAAAAAAATTTAATTGCAACTGAATTAATCAAATATACCACATTAGACTTTGAATATGAGTAAATAGTTAATGTTAGTTATTTTGTGTCAACTTGTATTATTTAATTACCTGACTATTTTAAACGATTTGGACTTTTAATATTCTCCATATATGACTAACTAATACAACTATACCTCGGTTTAGATAATACACATTTAATTATAAAGTTAGGGAAAAAAACACGCGTGAAACATCATACACTTTCATCTTCTTCTCCCTATGGTTCTCCTATGCAAGAGGCACCAGTCAGCGGTTGAGCGGGTTGACTCTCACTTCATCGCCATCAACGAAGTCCAAGTTCGTGAAATTGCAATTCCATGGGCTGGTAGGGTTTGCATACCCAGTTGAAGGGAGAAGTCCCCAGGATAAAGGGAACACCACAAAGTCAATTCTACAATCAATGGATATTTCTCCACCTCTCGAGGGGGATTTTAACAAGTCCAAGTTCGGCTATGACGTTCTCTCCTTTCAACAAGTCCGTTGTTTGTTGCTTTCATCATTTTCTTCATTTTGATTTAAAGTTTTATACTTTCTTCATTTTTTAAGTTTTATGTTTGTTTATTTATATGCAAATTAATATATGACTTGTTTGTTGGGTTGGGTTGCTGTAGATGTCAGAGCAATTCAACCAGGATTTGACTCTATTTGGTAAAATCTGAACTGGCCATTTCTATAATGCATTTGAGTTTACTGGAGGATGGCAAAAGGACGGTGTCAACACAAATCCATCAGAAAATAAGTTTTTAAAAAAAATATCAAAATGTGAATTTTTTCTTCATCAATAAACATCCCAAGTTCTACGATTATGATAATGAGTTAGTTGATGTAATCTTGTCTTATAGATTTTGGCAAAAATAAAAATAAAATAAAAATCTTATCATCTATCTATACTAGCCCATTGGCACATGCTACGCATGTGCCAATTGGTTTTATTTTTTATTTTTTAGTTTTTATTTTATTTTTAGAATTAGAAAAAGATAACATGGGTAGTTATGTTCTATAAAAGTAGGATCTATTATATGATTTTGTTTTTAATTTTAATATTAAAAAATGTGAATTTACCATGTTATCCTCATTTCATTAATAATTTCAATTCTTAATGTTTGAATTAACCAAGGGTTTATATAAAGTAAAAGGCAGAGAATTGTGAAATATTCAAAATACCAGAAAATACCCTTGTTTAATTCAAACATGAAGAATTGAAATTATTCATTAAATGAGGATAATATGGTAAATTCACATTTTTTTATATTAAAAAAATTAAAAACAAAATCAAATAATATGTCCTATTTTTATGGAACATAATTACCCACGTTATCTTTTCTTAATTCTAAAAATAAAATAAAAATTAAAAAAAGAAAACCAATTGGCACATGTGCGAGCATATGGCTAGTATATATAAAGTAAAAGGCAGAGAATAGTGAAACATTCAAAATACCAGAAAATGCCCTTGGTTAATTCAAACATTAAGAATTGAAATTATTAATTAAATGGGGATGATATGGTAAATTCATTTTTTTATATTAAAAAATTAAAAATTAAAATAAAAACAAAATCAGATAATATGTCATACTTTTATGGAATATAACTACCCATGTTATTTTTTCTTAATTCTAAAAATAAATAAAAAATAAAAAAGAAAAGCAATTGAGTGGCTAGTATGTATAACTTGGTCAGAATATTTATCCGAAATAACACCAAACATTTTATAATATTATGGATAAATCGTCAGTACTATTCGGAGCAGATTAATACTATCCAATATAATTTAGTCAGTACAATTCGACATACAAACCCTATATATATACGGGAATTTAAACTTGCGTGCAAGATGATGGGCAACTACCGCTACTACGTTTTCCTATTTGCGCGACCGCATTTTGCACGACGAAGTAGTATTCGTCGCGCAAGAGATCAATATGCGACGGAAAAACACACTCGTCGCGCAAAGTGTGAAAAAGATGCGCGACAAATTCAATTTGTCACACAAGATAACTTTGCGCAACGCAAAAGACTCTCGTCGCGCAAAGGGAGGAAAAAAAACGCGAGAAAGTTTTTATGGCGCCAAAACCTTGCGTGACAACAAAGTCGTCGCGCTAAATTGTTTTGCGCGACGAAAAAAAGTTTGGTCGCGCAAAGTTATATAACATCCGCCCAAATTTATCTCTGGCGACAAACACTTGCGCGACGATAAGGACAGTCGTCGCGCAAGAAGTTGGGCTCATACCTTGCGCGACGGCTTCCTAATTTTGCGCGACAATAAAGGCGAGAACACTTTGCGCGACGAAAATCGTTGCGTCGCGCAAAACCTGGATGTCGGCACAAAGTTGCGGGACGGAAGAAATTTTTTGCACGACGAAATGGGACATATGCGCGACGAAACTGGGATTTTTGCGCGACGAAACTGGGATTTTTGCGCGACGAAAGTGTTCTGTTTGCGCGACGGAAGTTTTCATTTTTTGCGCGACGATTAATGTCTTCGTCGCGCAAAACTCTTCTCCTTCATATGCTGGTTTCTGCCATTGCAGAGGCAGACTTCAAAAAAAAAAACTCTGCTCTGCCTGCCTCTGGATCTACTGCAGCTTCTGCTTATGCTGGGAGTTGAGTACGGTCATTAGGTATGTATTTGTAGTCGTTAGTTTGAAAGTATTAATTTAAATTAACACTAACGCGATTAATTTCGTTGTCTTTAGGGATAATTGTAATTTGCGATTGGTGGAAAAAGATTGAGAAGGTATTTGATAATTTTAATATTTTTTGTTGTGAAATTATATTTATATTATGTTGTTAAATTGTCCGTTACGTAGCACAATGTGTTGTGATGTATGAAGTTAATTGAAATTAACTTCGTACTTTGTTTTTTATTGTATTAAAACTTAGTTTCCCGTTCGAGATTAGTTGGATTTCGTGCATGGATGCGTAATGCATGACTGCGGTCCAATTAATTCTTGAATTGTCCCATTATTTGGACAGTTTGGTAATGCATAGTGTTGTCACGTAATCTACGGCTACAGGACTAGGTTTCGATTGTGGAAATTTCGGTGTCATCTCGGTACGTTCTTCGGGTGGTATGTAGGTATTTATACCTATGCCCACCTCAAGAACTGTATCGAGATGCTGCCGAAATTCTTCCACGTCGAAATCTAATCTCATGTAGCCGTAGGTTACGTGACAGGACTATGCATTCCCGAATGGGATAGGACCCTTACCGGAGGCATAAGGTGACATTATAACTTCGTATGAAGTTTTTGTAATTGTTGTGTTGTGATTGTGGTTCCAGGAATTATGAGCAGACTGTGGATACAGAACCCGAATAGATGCGCAAACGAATACTTGGATGGAATCGAGGATTTCATTGAGTTTGCACGTAGACACAACCCGGGTGCAACTAGAATCCGTTGTCCTTGTAGGAGGTGTAACAACACATTGTGGGAGACAATTGAAAATGTTGGATTTCATTTAGTAAGGAATGGAATGATTGAGACATATAGCATTTGGAACCTTCACGGAGAACAATTAGACAATGCTTCGTCTTCAAATGCCATAAGAGTGGACAATGTTGAACCTATTGTGGATCCTAATGAACAAGTGATGGATATTATAAACGATGTTTTTCCATTTGCATCGACGAACATCAATCAGGAAGGGGAAGATGACGTGCCTACACCAATGGACAGTGCAGAGTTCGAACAATATGAAAAACTATTAAAAAATGCCAACCAAGAGTTATACCTGGGGTGCAAGAGCTTTTCCGTTCTCACGGCCATTGTGGACCTAATGCACGGAAAAATAAAATATCGTATGTCGAACTTGTGTTTTGATTACTTTTTGGGGGTTTTCAAGAGAATGCTTCCGACGGACAATTGTTTGCCGAAAGACCATAAACACGCGCAGAAGGTGTTGAATGGTCTTGGATTGGGTTATGAAAAAATTCATCTTGCAAAAATAATTGCATGTTATTCTACAAAGAGTATGAAACATTGGATACATGCCCTATATGCAATGAGTCGAGGTTCAAAATGACATCTCAGAATAGAACGACTAAGATCCCACAAAAAGTCATGCGTTATCTGCCTCTGAAACCTAGGCTTCATCGATTGTATATGTCGACGCATATTGCCACAGACATGAGATGGCATAAGGAAAAACTGGTAGACGATGATGTGATGCGGCATCCTGCAGATGGGGAAGCATGGAAAGAGTTCGATCGAACGTTCCCTGACTTTGCTGCTGATCCTCGAAATGTTAGATTGGGACTTGCCACTGACGGATTCAATCCGTACGGGGTTCTAAACCAACACCACAGCACTTGGCCGATTTTCGTATTTCCATATAATTTGCCGCCTTGGAAATGCATGAAAAAAGAGTACATGATGTTGACTGTTTTGATAACTGAGGATCCTGGCAGGTCAATCGATGTTTACTTAAGGCCGTTGGTTGATGAGCTCAAGGATTTATGGGCAAACGGTGTGCACACGTACGATAAATCCACTGGGAAGATGTTCACTTTGCGGGCAGCAGTGATGTGGACTGTTAATGATTTTCCCGCATATGCAATGGTTTCTGGGTGGAGCACAAAGGGTTATATGGCATGCCCTATGTGCAAGGAAGATGTAACTTCTAGTTGGCATGCCGGAAAAGTTTGTTATCTTGGTCATCGGAGATGGTTGCCATGGGACCACGAATGGCGGGAAAAGGATAAAGAGTTCGACGGGAACACAGAGCCTCGCCTTAGACCTAGAGAATGGTCTGGTGATGACATCTTGGAACAGCTTAACCGTTTGGATTTTGCTCCGTTCGGCAAAACAGTTAGTCGAACCAGACCTTCTACACATATGAACTGGACGCACAAGTCTATGTTCTTTGAGCTCCCATATTGGTCGAAACTAAAATTGAGACACAATCTCGACGTTATGCATGTTGAGAAAAATGTGTTTGACACTTTGATAGGTACGATTCTAGACATCGAGGGCAAGACAAAGGACACGATCAAAGCTCGTCTTGATTTGGAAAGAATGGGCATACAAAGAGGTTTATTGATGAACAGGGACGGTGATAAAGCTAGAAGGGATCTGGCATTTTTTTCCATGAAACCGAATGACAAAAAAGAATTTCTAAAGTTTGTATCGTCGGTAAAGTTTCCCGATGGGTATGCTTCTAATATCGCGCGTTGCGTGAATGTTGACGGGGGTAAATTTACTGGACTTAAGAGCCATGATTGCCATGTGTTTATGCAACGGTTACTTCCTGTGGGTATTCGACACCTATTGCCGGAAGATGTAGTGAAGCCGATCATGTTGTTGTCCAGATTTTTTTCCCAACTGACGGCAAAAACATTGCGAAAGACAGACATGCATCAATTGCGCCATGACATTGTCCAAGTCCTATGCAAGTTTGAGATGATATTCCCTCCAGCTTTCTTCACAAGTATGATCCACGTGATGGTTCATTTGCCAGAAGAGGCATTGCTTGCTGGTCCTGTCAACTATCGTTGGATGTATCCAATAGAAAGGTATATAATCCTCATCATTTGTTTATGCATCATTATCCAATTGAAAGGTATATTATCCTCATAATTTGTACCATATCGTTTTCTTTTCGCAGGCTGCTTGGAGAGCTGAAAAAAACTGTACGCAACAGGGCGAAGCCCGAAGGGTCAATTATAGAGGCTTGGGTTCAATATGAGTCGCTTACTTTCTGTGGAATGTATTTACAAGATGTGGACACAGCTTTCAATCGTCCTCAACGCAATAATGACGGAGGTGTGAGAAATGAGAAACTTTCTGTTTTTGCCCAAAGAGCACGACCATTTGGAGATCCTGTACGAGGAGAGTCGTTTTCCATAAATGACATGCAGGTAGCACATTGGTTCGTACTGAACAATTGTGATGAGATAATGGCATACTTAGATGAGCATGAAGAGATGATGAAGCGAGAACATCCATCACATTTGTATGCCACGAAACACCGTGAATTGTTTCCACAATGGTTTTTGGAAACTGTAAGTTAAAAGTGTTTTGTAATTGAGATATATATTGTATTATTTAATGTTCTCAAATTAACATGTGAATATTTTTGTATAATATTAGGTCAACAAGTTGAAATCATCGAATTCCCCCACTTACAGTGAAGAGTTATATAACTTGGCGTTCGGCCCGATTCGGGCTGAATTGTTCTCGGGTTGCCATGTTAACGGCATCAAGTTTTTAGGGGCTGCACGAGATGACAAGTTGTGTACGCAAAACAGCGGTGTCCATGTCCCAGGTGGAGGCGAAAGTACGGACAATGATTTCTATGGCAAACTGACAACGGTCGTGCAATTGCTTTACAAAGACCGATACCAAGTGATCATGTTTAAGTGTCGATGGTTTGATACAAACACAAATAGGCAGGGAAGTGTTAAAATCGACCATGGCTTAATATCAGTGAACATTAACAGAACTTGGTATGATGACGACCCTTTCATTTTGGCAAACATGGCAAAACAGATTGTGTATCTAGATGACCCTAAAGCCGGGAGCGGTTGGAAAGTTGTTCAGCATATGGATCAGAGGAACGTGTATGCTATACCAGAACTAGACCCAACTGACAACGACGTCACTGACCAACGTTTGGAGTCTTCCATGGAAAATGATGCAGAAACACTTCGAGATACAAATGTTATACAAGAACCATTTCAGGTTCAAGGAGTGTCTTCAATCGAAATACCGATTCAATCAATTACAATTGACCTCGGTGATCTTCCGCGATATGATGTTCCAGTGGGCCCGAACTACGAAAGTGATGAGGAGGAGGATTGGGAAACCGAAAGTGATGATAGCGACGATAACGAAGGTTATTATAGTTCAGATGATGAATAATGCAATTTATTAGTGACTACCCATGTAAATAGTAAATTTAATTTTGTGTATTTTAATTATGGTAGTGTAAAGATGGCAATCACAAATTAAAATCAAGTTGCACACAATTTGAATTTGACTTTTTTAATCACAAATTTAATCATATAATATATACATTGAATCTAACTATTTGAATTTAAGTGGTATTTATGAATATAAGAATTAGGGTTTTCTCTTGTTGGTGTTGAAACTATTGAAATTGAAAGAATACAAAAAATTGAAACAAGCATGAAAAATTTGAAAAATTAAAATCAAGAATTCATCTCTCTTCGCGATGTTCCACGCTTGGCTACAGCCCATGTGATTTTGTCCTTCTCTTTCTCAAGAGGTCAAACTTTGTCATTCCAAGTCATAAAGTTAATTAAAAACTTTTTTTTTAATAGGAGAAAGTTCATTACTCTATTATTAAATGAAGAAAACCCCCCTTTTATGTTGTTAAAAAATACGCCTATATGAAGAGACATCCAAGAACCATTTCTGTTTCGGGCCTTTAGGCCTCATGTGCACCACGTGAAGAATTAAATGTTTATATGAAAAAAGAGAATACAAGAGTTAAATTTTGGAGTTTAAATGTCTATTGTATCATTGAAGATTATCAAATAAAGTTTATTTTTTATTTTTATTTTTGAAAAAACAACACAAGAGTAAAACTTTGAGGATATATATGTAGCCCATGTGTTATGTCATAAAAGTTGCAAACCCATTTAAAAACTTTGAGGATATATATATGTAACCCTCAGAATTATAAAAACAAGCAAAAATGTTTATCAAAATTCAAAATTTAATTTCGCTACAAATTCCCTTCCAATGAATGATGACTACCCATTTAATTTCTATTTTGTTGAATCAGATTATGAGTTTATATTTTTAGAGAGATATAAGTTATTTTTTTATTTTTTGTAACTAACATCGGAGTAGGCTTGAAAAAAGAAAAGCAATACCAATGTTCCCCCCCATAATTAACAAAATATCACAAGATATAATTTTTGCCTACTTCAAACAAGTTTCCAGGTTTTTTAATTAATAGAAACTATTTTAAAAATACTTTTGAAAATTTAAAATAGTTTTTCAAGACCATAAAAGAATTAAATACTATTTATTCAGTCATTTCATAAATAAATTAAAAAAATTTAAAACTAATTCTTCACAAAATAAATAATACTAAAAACAAAATACAAATTACAGAAATTGAATTAAACTAAAATATTTTGGTTTTCCGAGAGATTTGCGCGACGGAATTAATTTCTACGTCGCGCAAGTTGTCCACATTTCCCGCATTTCCCGTTAGGGTTTAGGGTTTACGGATTTATTTCTGGTAATCTTGCGCGACGAAATTAATTATCGTCGCGCGTAGCGCATTTGCACTACGCAATTAATACCTTTGTCGCGCAAGATGTCGAAATTTTTGGCGGCTTAGGGTTTAGAGGTTCTGAGAATCTTGCGACGAAATGTCATGTCGTCGCGCAGGTGTCGTTAATTCGATGATTAAAATATTACCTTGCGCGACGCCATTATTTTTGCTGTCGCACAACACATCATTGTGCGATGAAATTTAGTTTTTCGTCGCGCAAGATGTCCAAAATATAGGCGGCCCTTCGTGAAAAAATCGCGGTTTTTTATTTTCGTTATCGTCTCCAGATTCGAACCCTAGCTCGAACCCTCTCAGACTTCGAACCCTAGCTCGAACCCTCGAACCCTAAACTTCGATTTCGAACCCTCGAACCCTATCAGGTTTAAATCCCCGTTGAACCCTTTCACCCTCTCAGACTGAACCCTCTCGCCTCTCACCCTCTGCTTCGAACCCTCTGACCTCGCACCCTCTCACTTCGAACCCTCTTAGTTCCCTCCTTCGAACCTTCGAACCCTCTCACACCCTCTGAGCTCTCTTATTCGAGCCCTCTCAGACTCTCTCTCATTCGATCCCTTTCGTCAAATTGCTCGATTCTCAGGCTGACTCTCGCATCTCAATATCAGGTATATCTCCTCTTCCTCTAATTGCTCTGGATCTGAAATTTGAATGAACAAAATTAGGGTTTTTTTTTGTCCAAATTAAAATTTGGGTTTCATGAAATTATTTAGGAATTCGTTTTTAATTGCGCTGTATTGTTTAGGTTCTGTTATTTGATGGAAATTAATTAGGGCTTTTGTAATAATTGGGTTGTTTTTAGGTTCTGTTGTTGGTTTGCATGTATTGTTTAGGTTTTGGTGGATGTGATTGTGAATGTTGATTAATTGGGGGATTGGGGCTTTGCTGGAAATTGGGACTTTTGCTGTTTAAGTGGCTGTTTTTAGGTTCTCTGTAGGTGATTCATTTGCTGCTTGGTGTCAGATTATGCATTCCGTGTTGCTGATTAGATGGATTGTTTTTAGGTTCTTTTTTCGGTGTTATGCTGTTCAGTTCTTGAATGATGATTAATTGGTTATGTTTCTGCTGCTTCAAGGTTATCATTGCTGGTTACATTTTGGTGCATAAATGGTAGAACGGTATTATGCTGGTTATAGTTTTGTTAAACTGCATGTATTGGTTGCTGCTATTAGTTGTACAATTTAGCAAACTTTTTCTGTTTTCTCTCTTATTACGGTTTTACGCATTTTCTGATGCACGAGCATGTATTAGGATAATTTGTTTTCCTATTAGTTTCATTTCTTGTTTAGGTTTTAATTTTGTTTGTCAATTGCGGTTTCTTATTAAACTAGGAACATGAATGCTTGGCTGGTTAATACATAAGCAAATAGATATGTAAATCTGTTATATTATTTAGATATGTAATATATATATATATGCTTAGTCTGAAGGTTGGTTAGGATATTTTGTGTTCTTCAATTAGTTCTTGCTTGTTCCGTTGTGCAGATGTCAAACCTAATTAGAAGTCGTAAGGCGGTGTCGGCTGCACATAGTTCGCCTCCCCTGTCGCAGCCATCAGTTGCCACAGCTCCAGCAGAGATGGACCACTTGCCAGTTGGTCCAAGGGTGTCCGATGCGCCGACGTCATCAGCATCGTCAGTGGCGCAACCTGTTAGCGCCAGGCGTCGTCATCGCCCACCCAGCACCTCTGACACCATATCGACAGACGCTTCTGCTGGGTCGGGGTCACAACCCGGTAAAGATTTCCTTCACCTCCAGTTCTTTTGGACCAATATTTTCTAGTTGCATATCTTATTTATTTAACGTTCATTTCATATTTCTTTGCAGCGAAGAAGAACACTCGGGGACCGTGTTGGCAGTTGAAGACGGCGAAGGTTACCCGGGTGACCAACAGTCGTATCAACATCGAATACGACGAGCGGCATCGGGCAGCCTCGACGGCGGAATTGCATAGCTCTTTGGCCCACGACATTGGTCATGTCTTTCGGACCCATTGCCCTATGCAATGGGAAGTCTTGGAAGGTCATACCTGACGAGGTCAAGATGGAGGTGCGCGAACATTTGTCGGTATGTATCCTACATTTTATTTGTTTGTCCTTCAAATTTTATTTATTTATATGCCTGGTCTATAATGAATTTATTGCAGACGAACTACAACTTAGAGGACCTCGATGATGAGTCATTGGCGTACGTCAATAGACTTTTTGGTGAGAGGTACAAGCAGTGGAAGAGCGACTTGCACCACCATTTTCAGGCATTTGATGATCCGCAAGTCGCTCTTGAAGAGGGTTGCCCGACGGAGCTTGAGGGTTGGGAGGATAGTTGGGCGTGGCTCTGCGCTCATTTTCTGGCACCCGAATATGTGGTATTTTTATTTTTATATTAATTGTTCAAACTTATTACATGTTTCTTACTAATGTTTATTTAATTTTTTCTATTTCATTTCAATTTCAACTGATACGTTTATTTTTTGTGTAACAGAATAAGGCCACAGTAAATAAGGGCAATAGGAAGAAGAAGACTCTTCTCCACCATTCAGGTTCCAGGCCCTTCTCATATAGGATGAACGCACGACGACGGGTAATAATAAATTATTTTTATATCCAATTTTGAATATGTAATTAATATTAATTTTTATTTTTCGTACTAACATTTTTCTTGTCTTGTTCAATTCAGGCGGGGTCCAAATTCCCGGAGATCGACGTCTTTGGCGACGTTTATGTTCGACCTGGGAATGAGTTGGCCGAGTCCATTCATGTAAGTATTCTTTAATTTTAATTATTATATACGCATTCAAGTGTCATGGTTAATATATGAATGTTTTAATTAATTTTAATATTTTATGTTTTAATTCTGTAAACAGACGGAGTTGGTTCTTCAGGAGTCTGCCTCCCAACTTCCTCTCGATACTCCGCTCGAGTCTGTGCATCCTCCACAGGATGCGGGGTTTCAAATCTTGACGGAGACGTTGGATCAGACTCTCGGCAGGAGGCCCGGGACATATTGTCGAGGGATGGGGAATGCCCGGCGGCGGGAACCTATACCCCGTTCATCGTCGCAGTCAACCGAGGTGACAGCGACGGTGGCCGAGCTTAACGGTCAGATGTCTATGATTCTAGAGTCCCTTGCTCGGTCAGGCATTCCAATCCCGCAGTTTGGTTCCTCCTCGACCTCCCAGCCCCCCCCAACCTGGCTACCAGACATCTACCCCTGCCGACAATGCCCAGACGTCCGAGCCGCATCTCGCAGACGACCACGTTGATTTTGGAACTTTATTCGATTAGTTTTTTATTTGTTATTACATTTTATCAATTTTTCTTGTAATTACATTTATATTATTTTATAACATTTCTTTTCTCTTCATTACATTTGTTTAATGCAATTTTCTTTTATTGAAAAAAAAAATAAACCAAAATTTAAATTTAAATTAACAACATAAAAGAAACGGAAAATTAAATTTAAATAAAAAATATTTATTTTTGCGCGACGAAAACCATTTGGTCGCGCAAATTAAAAATAAAAAATAAAAAATTTTTTATTTTTGCGCGACGTAAAATATTTCTGTCGCGCATATGTTTGCGCGAAGAATATTTTCCGTCGCTCAAAGATTGCATAACGAAAACCTTTTTGTCGCTCTAACTTTTGCGTGACGAAAATTGCACGACAAAAATGTCCCGTCGCGCAAATTTTGCGTAACGAATATATTTTCGTCGCACAAATGTTTGCACGACGCAACATACTGCCGTCCCTGCACATTTTCAACGACGAATGGAAGTTTTTGGTCACGCAATATCTTTCTTCCCGAACTTCGCGCGACGGATGCTGCGCGACGACATTTCCGTCGCGCTTAAGTTTTTGCGACTACATCCATCTTTGCGCGACGGAATTTTTTTCGTCGCGCAAACTATAAAATGTAGTAGTGTACCGTAACCCACATTTGCTTATCAATGTCTTTTTATATCAATTTAATCATAAAATCTTTGATCAATGGGTGAATAAATCATGAGTCGCGTAATATTTTTTAAGTCTGAACTATTTATTTATTTTTAAAACAAGTTCAGATGTGAAAGATAAAGATGAAATGCCATTTTGGTAATTACGTGTTTTAAAAAAGGAGCGTAGTGTAAAGTCATATAAAGTAACCGTTGAACCCCATTCATCATCTATCGTTTATTTTGAACTGAGCCAGACTAAGAACCAACTTTGCAGCATCTGACCAGTTTTAGAGAATTCGCGTTGTATTCCAAATCGCAAGATATCGATCGCTTACTTGAAACACTTTTGGTGAGTTTTCCCACATTCTTTAGAAATCTGTATGATTTAATCTAATTCGTTTATTAGGGTTTAGGTTTGAATTATAATTTGGGAAATTACAATTCTTGGGAAATTTTTTTGAATTGTAATTTGAATTGTGGTTCTTAACCTCCTAATTGTTTCGGTTTCAAGGAAAAAAGGAGATATAATTTTCCATAGACTCGGTGTTACAGAACTTTTCTGGGATTTGGATTTGGATTTGGATTTGGATTTGGTGTTCTTGTTTTTCAAATATTTGCACGGTAAAAACAAGAATTTGAATTTAAGATCCAGATGGTACCCATTAGAAATGATTGAAAATGATGGTGAATGGTGATGAGGGATACATATTAGCGATGCAAATAAATAAGAATTTGGTGTATTTTTTCCATTGCCATTTGAGGTTCGTAATTTTATAAGATCTTGGATTCTGGATAGTATAATAGTATTTCTTTCACTTCAGTTTTAAGTGTTCAATTAGTTTTAGAATTCTGGATATATATTTCTTTATCTAAGGCCACATCTTGTATGGAAGTTGGTGATGTGAAGGATTGTTCTAAGTGTTTTTATTTTCCTTTGTTTCTGCAGTTAGCAGAAAATTAAATCGAAAAGTGGGTACAGAAAACAACAATGACATCACAAGTTGGTCGTGTGATTCACGACCAAAACCTTAATGCTCAATCTAATGGTACTTCTCAAGCCTACCAATTATTTTCTTTCTTGCCTAAAATTCTTGTTAGGCTATTTTGGTGTAACCCTTATAACATGTATCACAGGTGCTTCTGTTGTGGGAAAGACTGATACAGTTAAAACACAAAGAAAAGGAGGCCTTGGTGGAAAGAAATCGCTTGGTGATTTGTCCAATTCCGGGAAGCCTGCATTCAATCAGGTATCGAAAAAGCAGCATTCCAAGAATTTTGCCACAGGAGCTTCTATTGTGGGAAAGGGAGATGTTTTAAAAACACAAATGAGAGGGCTTGGTGGAAGGAAACCGCTTGGTGACATATCGAATTCGGGGAAGCCTATTCTTTCCCAGGCATCAAAAAAGCAGCCTTCCAAGAATTTTCCTGTCGTTGAGGAAGTGACCAGCCTTCCTAAAATCGTTCATGATGCAAGCACTAGGAAAGGTGTTTTTAAAGCCTCAGAGAAAGTGCAGACCCATAGTAGGAATACACTATCTCACATTTCAAACTCAGTGAAACCAAATCTGCAGAAGAACCACAGCATGAAGCTAAAGGTTATGGCAGAAGAACCTCTTTGTCCTAGTGCTATTGCAGAGGAGGGGTTCTTACACAATCATCAAGAATGCATCAAAGCACAGAACAAGGCCATGGACTTGGATCAACTTCTGATGAATTTCAGTGAACTTAAGGCAAGTCTTAATTTCCTTTTTCTTCATTTTCTGAAGTTATTTTGTCGGTTTGGATTTCCTAACAATGTGGTTTTTTTCGTCTTTGTTTTCAGCTGGAGAGTCCCTTAAGGTGCAAAAAGTTGGAAGAGATGTCTGAAAATCTTGACCCTCCACCTCCTGTATTTGAATCACCAAAATACTACACTGCATATGAGGATTTTGATGAGCTCTCTGACAAGTTTGACTATCCACCAATTGACTATACTGATTTCCCTTGGATTTCAGAGGACTGTGATTTCAAGTTGATGTCTCCAAATCACTGATTCCCCTGAGTTTCCAGACTGTGCTCTATGAAATGCTGCATATGCAGTTCAAGAGAATCAATGAATGTTTTGTAAATTTTAGTTGTTCCATCCATCAACTTAAAATTGATATAGTCAGTCCTTTTAGAGGGTTTGGTTTATGTTAATTGTGTAAAACTCTGTTTGTAGATGTTAATTGTGCAAAACTCTTTTTGTAGCTGTTTGTAGTGTCGCTTGGTTTCTTTTGGCTTTTTTGTTAACTGAGTATTTGAATGTTCATAACTGCTTGTTCCAAAACTTGAAATTGATATAGTCACCAAAACTTGAAATTGATATAGTCGGTCTTTCTGCTTGTTCCATGAATTTTGGAATTGCCATATGTATTGTCATTATATATAAAATGCCAATTAGATCCTTATTTTTGGACGCTATACCTAATTTAATGGTTTCCTCTTCTAATTCACATATAGCACAATAATTCTCCACCCGCACTCCCCATCGAACTGCCAGAAGATTACAACAGCACCTCCACATAAAACATTTAAGTTTATTTGGTACATTTAAATGCCAGATACCATGCCAAACCTTCTAGCCATCATCTCCGGTACTTGTCATACCCTAGTTGCCATTCCTCTGCATATCGTACTGGTATCCTGACTTGGCCGCATATAATCCCTTCTTGGAAAAGTGCCAAATCAAACGGTCAGGACACCCCATCTTACTAATTTGCATCCCCAAAATCATGGAAGCCTCACGTTTGTCAAACATCACTTTAACCTTCACAGCATTCCACTCATGGGTGTCTTGATCAATTAAGCTACCCACTCTATCTTCTGCATCACCTCTATAGGACAGGGTACGAAAAGTGTGTAGAATCGGCAACCAAGGATGCTCTTGGATTCTAACTGAAGTACCGACCCCACCGGCTAACGTAAACCACCTTTAAGCAGGGCCATTCCTGAGGTTTTGAGGGTCCTGTGCGAAACTTAAATTGGGGCCTCACATAATCTTATACGAAAATACTATAAATAAAAATTTGTCATAAACAATTTTTTTTATAACTAAAAGTCACCATCAATAAACATGTAATGACAATCAAAAATCCAATTCATAAAAATTTAAATGTTCTCATTTGATAAAGTTAAATATTAGTATGTTTGGTACAAATATAAGCTCCTTGTGCCCGTATAAGGTCCCTTGCTGCCTCCAATAGGCAATCTGTGTTTAATAGGAAAAAAAATTAGCAATCACAAATTAAAAAGTAGTTGCACACAAACAGGGGCGGAGGTGTGCTTAGGCCTGCAAGGGTCTTGGCCCTCCCAAAATTCTGAAATAACATATATATTGCCTTTGCATTGTACAACTTAGGACAATACATATATATATATATATATATATTAAATTAATGCTTGTGGCCCCCCACAATAAAGAGAAAAAGGGATTTACATTTCTCCCTCCAACTAAAAGACTCTTTCCTTAGCAATATGGCAAAGTTACTCCTAGATTCTACTAACATAATTAATAAAAATTAAAAGAAACAGTCAATCAAATCTTTCTTTCACAAGTATATTTAAGAAAATATGAAATTAAAGATAATCGGTTATTTATTTATTTACAAGCTTAACACTGGGAAAGAAATCAACCTTAAACCCTAATATATTGGCCCCTCCACACATAAAATCCTGACTCCGCCACTGCACACAAATGTCATTAACAAATTAGATTATATTGCATTAAACACAAAAGCAACAACAAAAACATACATGACTATCCAAAAATCAATCACATTGTATTTGTTGTCTTTATTTGAATAATTAAAACTATTATGAGAGCTTTTTCTCAAAAAAAAAAAAAAAAAAAAAAAAAAAAAAAAAACACACTACTAATGTCTGAAAATTGATCTTCTTGAATTTTTAAAAGAGAAATCATTAATCAAATGTTCATAATCGAGTTTTTCAAGAAAGATATATATTCCTGGTGGTTAGCTTGACGTTTCCCTTTTCTTTTTCTTTTTTTTTCTAAGGTGTTTTTGTTTTTTTTTTAAAAATAATAATAATAATAATAATTATGTACAGCTTGTTGTTATAATGCCAAAAAAATATGTAAGAAGGCAAATAGCTAACTTCAATAAGAATCAAACTTGGGCGCCTCTTTTAAGTGGAAACACGCTGGGAAGCCAACTCCACCACAGACGCTTTTGTGCAGATACTTAGCACGCTGTTGAGGCCCAAAAAATCCACGGTTTGGCCCAAATAAGGCCCAATGCGATACCTTACCGAGAAGAAATCCGATTTGGGCACGCGGAAGTTCATCATATGCCCTTGTACACATGTCACGCCAAGCGACACGCCACGCCAAGTAAGGAATTATTATTTTGCATCTAATCACGCCACAAGCTTAAGTTGGCCCAAGCCATGCAAGATGTCTGGGGCTTGCTTGAGTGGATTGTGGTATGGATGGTAATAAGTTGTCATGAGGCCCATTGATGAGCCGAGAAATGGAGGTTCCGGGTTGCTTGGGAGCCTCGGAACCCAAGCCCATTTCTTAGGCCCAAACATGTGGGTGAGCACAAAGAGAAAATATCCCAACCAAAATAGCCCAACCAAAAAGCCCAACACCTCAAGCCAAACCTTGTTGAGGTTAGCCCATTTATTTTGACAAATCAACCCATTATCTTAGAAGGCCCATACAATTAGAAAAGAGAAGAAGCCAAAGCATCAGCTCCTTGCTGAAAAAACAGAAGCCACGTGGGGAGCAAGATGTACACATATGCAGAGCTGCTGGAAGGCTCCAGCATATGGGAAGGAACAATTTCCAAGCACAAAACACCCAAAGAACCCAGGGATATTAACGTGCAAGGTGCCAGGAAGAGAAGCACCCTTCGAACCAGCATACATATCCTAATTCATTCCCCCATCAGACCTGGCCATAGAAAAAGGAAAGAAAGAAAAGAAGGAGATGGCTGGGAATGGAAGTCTCCCACTGAAACAGCCGCGGGAAAGGGGGCCTTGAGCTCCCAAAATTCATGATTTTGTGCAAATAGATAGAGGAAATTTCACCAAGATAGAAAAGTCAAGGGAGGAGATGAGAAAGGAAGGAAAAGCTTGGCCAAGTTGGGAAGAAACCATTAGGGTTTCTTGGGAAAGGATAGTTTCCCGCATCTATAAAATGAGCCCTCTTCTACCCAACAAAACCAACTCAGATTTAGAGAGCAAGATTTCTCTCTAACTTGCAAAAACCTAGCAATTTCGTGCACTATTCACCCTTGTTCTCCATTTTCCTCTTATGGCAGACCACTTTCACATATGTCAGAAGCTTTGTCAAGCTGCCGGAAGAACATTGTTCTTTCTTTCTCTCTTCTTAGCCAAATCAGCTTGCAAACCTCTTCTTCCTCACCTTAAACACTCCCATTTCTCCCTAGGAAGCCATATTTTCCTCTTTGGTGCTAAACTCATGCTGATTTTGCTTCCATGCCACAAGCCTCTCATGCCAAGCTAGAAATTTATCTGTAAGCATCAAGAAATCATCTGTAAGTAGCCATTATTTTCGTTGGTGAAGGTAACTAGAACGCTTCATAAGGCTTTACTACCCTTTCGAAGCGCTTTTGGGGCTTGATTTTCGAACTCAGGCTCAAGGGGAAATTTCTTCCATTTTGGTCTTTACGGCAGCCCAGACCCGTAGTAGCTGTTGGAAGAAAAAAGCCCCTGTAGTATATATACAATTCTTATAAATATTATATATATAATATAAACAATTTTTTTTTTCAGGGGCCCTATGCGGTGGCGCCACTTGCACCACCCCAGGGCCGAGCACATCCCTACCTTTTAATACACGTTTCCATCCCAAAGAACACACCTTTCCCTCCATTGCAACAAGAAAAGATCCACAAGGGAAGTATTTTTCCCGTAACACTCGACATTAAAGTGACGTTGGATTCTGAATTAACCTCCGACCAGTTCTAGCTAAAGTGGTTAAATTAAAGCAAATCAAATCCTTAAAACCAAAGTCACTTCTGTGGCAAGTTTGAGTAATTTGATCCCCAGAAGCCCAAGGATTGCCCTTCTTCAACACCTGCCCTTCCCACCAAAACTAACCAAGACTCCATTTTATCTATTTACAAATCCCTATTGGTAACTATTGATACCGTGACTAACCAAGCAACTAGTTAAGCAAGATCAGCCACGTACCATGCTTTAAGAGGTCATCACCTTAGCCAAAGAAGCCTTACCACAAGTGACAACTCTAAGTAAGGCAGGGAGTCCCACATTGGAAGACTACAAGAGGCAGAGACTCCCCCTCACCTATAAAAGAAGACCACTCTCTGCTTAGAAAAGGTTCTTTGGTCTTTAGCCTCAGACTCTTGGGTTTTGTACCTTAGGCATTAAGCCTTTTTCCCTTTATCTTTCGGTCTAATCCCCTTGTACAAATGTAAAAAAACATTATCATAATGAGAACATCCTTCTCCGTGGACATAACCCATCATTCGGGTGAACCACGTATACCTTGTCTTCTGCATGCTTATTTACTTTACTTATGTTGAATGTCACTAATTGCCGAAGGTAGCCTCCTGCTTTGCCTCCCAAAGGCACATACACATACTGAAAGCCCACGTCTTTACACACCATCCACCACTCCACATCTATCCAAGTTAAACTCCATTTTGAGCATCAACAGTAACTTATTGAAATACATCATATAATTTGGCATTGCCATTGCAAATGCCTTAACTAGAATCTCTTTCCCAGCCGGCAATAAGAACTGCTTTGACAGGACCTGACCCAAATTCCACTTTGGAATCTGAAACGAGCCCTATGCATGTCCAACACCTGGTAGGTGCCGAGCACACCTGTCCAAATTGCCCTTCTAACGAAACCTAAAGTTTCTTTAGAGTTTGACTTCTGCCAAAAATTCGGCAAAGTCTCCCATGTAAATTGCTCGTTTCCCAAATTTTTCACATGTACAACAAGCAATTTAAATATCCACAATTGCTCAACATGCACAATATATAATTCACGCAACCAACATCAAATCTTTATGGCCTCAGGCCTCTTGAAAACAAATAAAATGTTCTGCCAATAGAAACGGATCCAAACTTTTGAAACAACACAAATACGTTAATAGATTTTGAAATAATTTAACTAAACAAATTTTCAATCATTTGGTATCGCGGCTGCACCTAGTAATGTCTAGGTTGCCTACGTACCCTTAACCAGGGATCAAGCCACACGTAGTTCTTTCACTTTTCACATTTGCACTTGTATAAATTCATCAATTGTTATTTTTCAATGAAATTTGCAAATCAAACTATTGAAATTCAAGCATGGGTTGTTGATTTCAGCACAATCTTCCACTCATCCCATACAAGCTTATACAAATATATATTTAATTACTTATTACAGAAAAGTAGCAACCGAGAAAATTATTAAAATAGCACTGACCCCATGAAACCTAAATGTCATTACCAACAATTTAAATAAAAACCTGCTTCCCTCTTTCTCATGTAACAACAAATTCATTACTCAAGAAAATAATTATGAATTGTATAAACTCTTGAAAACTTAGAAATCCTCAATCTTTGTCTCACACATTGGAAAATATGTATTAAAGCTTTTACCAATAAATATCAAGATAAAATCACGAATTTTAGTCTAAACATCTCATTTACTCTCCACCTAGGTGTACCCCCATTTATATTCCGTCAATTCCTTTAATATGTCGTCAATTCCGATAAGATTCCATCAATTCCATGATTTTCTATTTAATTCCTACAATATACCGTCAATTCCTTGTGTCACATAATATGACACATCCTTGCAGGTCTCGGGAATACAAAGTCATCTCGAGCCGCATTCCTTGTAGGCCTCAGTGACACAAAGTCATCTTGAGCTGCATTTCTCGCAGGCCTCGGTGACACAAAGTCATTCTGTGCTGCAATCCTCGCAGAACTTAGGGGACCTGTAGTCAGCCCGAGAACACACATCCTCGCACCACACGATTCAGGCGTCCACGAAACTCATGGGGCAATGTCATAAATGACTAATCTATTTCAAAGGCAAAGGGGGGGGGGGGGGGGGGGGGGGGGGGGGGGGTAGGGGTGAGCTACTCCCCCTCTCCTGGGGGGGGGGGGTGGGGTTGGTTTGTTTTTATTTTATTAAAAAAAAACCAAACCACCATATATTCTCTTTTCAAATTTCATTTCAAATCATAACTTAAATTAATTTACTCAACTTTCCAGAAATCAGTTCTCAACTACCTTAAAATTTACATTACATACTGTTTCAGAGGCTCTGCATGGGCTGGCAGCTAGACGACGAAGGAGAGTCATTATCAATGTCCTCGTCATCATCCATTTGAGAGGCTTGAATTATCAACTGGCGGGCAATCTCTTGAAGTTCAGACTTTGATTTTCCTTCAACTGAAAGGGAAGATCGGGTTGAACTAGTGGGAGAGGCAGGATGTGGAATAGAATCATGGGGCAAATCATTGTAGACATATTTGGCAATTCTGTCAACTTCGAATTTGTCCCACCATTTAACAGAGAATTGGCACGCAAAAATTCTGGTATCTTTGGTTACTTTGTAGGACCATTTGAGGATCCAAGGAACTTTGTATTTAGCAACAAAAAGCAACGGTTTTGGGAAGAACAAATCAATTTTGGAGAACTTGGCTTTTTTGGTGAAATGGCGAATTAGCTCAAGGACTGAAACAGGCAGAATTTCATCAACTGGACCATGTTTTTCCCCCCAGTGGAGGAACCAGTAGGGAAAGGAGCATTTGAACTTATTGTCAAAATTTATAAACCAAGAATGACTAAAGTCCTCAGATTGGTGGAGGAAAATAGAGTACCAAGCTTCAATATAATCAGAATAATTATATTGCAATTTTGACTGAAGGGTTTTCAACTCATAAGGGTGGCTACTGAAAGAATCTTGACTCATGACTTTGTGGATATAGAGGGAATGATAAAGGATGATCTCAGGGTGATTACGATCCTTTATTGGCGTAATTTCGACTGACTGAGTCTCAAGTAATATATCTCTATAATACTTGAGAGACTTGTATGGACTAGGCGGCATATAATGAAATCCCGGAGGGAAATAGTGTCTGGCTATGGCAACTGGATCAGAATTAATATCATAGACAGGCTCAACAAAAAACAGGTGAAAATTGCTTTTGGGCAAATAGGGAGATGTCTTTTTGAAGGCAACTGAGGGACCAGTTGAGGGATCAACTGAAAAAGGATCATAACTGGAGATTAAGGTCGACTGATAACTGGGGCAAATTTGGCCAACTGTGGAACCTAAACTAGAGAATTTATTAGCAACTGTTATTGGTGTGGCAACTGAGATTGGAGTGCAACCAGGAAAAGGGACCAACTGTTTGGGTGTTTCTGGCTTATTCTGACTCATGGATGGGGGAAGGATTCGGAGCGACTGGGAAGGCTTGGGTTGTTTTGCTGGTTCTTTTTGCTTATCTTTTTTGTGTGCCATTGTGCATCTTGCAGGAATTCTTGAGTAAGAAAATTAGGGATTGAATTCTCACTTCCTCTCAAATATTCAATATCAAAATCAAATATACTTAAAATGCTTTGCCATCGTGCAAAAATCTGTTTAGATGCAATGTTTTGAACATCTTTTTCTAAAACATGTTTTGCAGATTTACAATCAACTCGTATTAAAAACTTTTGATTAAGCAAATCATCTTGAAATTTACTAATACATAATACAATAGCTAATATTTCTTTTTAATAATACTATAATTATATTGCGACTGGGTCCAAGTACCGGAATGAAAGCGAACAATCTGTTCTGGGGAATTTGGACAGGCTCTTTGTTTGAGGATACCACCATAACCTATGTCAGAGGCATCAGTTTCAACTATCTTAAAGGAATCAACTGAAGGAATACCAAGACAGGGAAGTGTCTTGACATGGGCTTTGATCTGTTTGACAACTTCAGTATGGATGGTTGACCATGGGGGAGGATTACTTTGCAACCTATCAAACAAAGGCTTACATTGCTTTCTCAGATTTTTGTAAAAGTTAGAAACATAATTTAGAGATCCTAGAAATCTCTGGAGTTGACTTTTATCAAGAATTTGATCAGGAAATTTATCAGCAAACTAAATGACTCGATCGATTGGGGAGATTTGTGACTGGCAAATATTGAAACCAAGGAATCTGACATTGGTTTGGAATAACTTGATCTTCTTAGCAGAAACAACTAGACCATTCTGTTTGACAATTTGAAGGAATTTATGCAAATGTTTCCAATGTTGTTCTATTGACTCAGAAAAGATGAGAACATCATCAATATAGACAATTGAGAAATGACTGTAAGGATTAAAAATCTCATTCAAAATATTCTGGAATTCACTAGGGGCATTTTTCAGACCAAATGGCATTACATTGCATTCATAATGACCGAAAGGAGTGACAAATGCAGTCTTATATCTATCTGACTCATCTATTTGAATTTGCTAGAAACCACTCTTCATATCAAATTTGGAAAAAATAACTGCTTTTTCTAATCTATTAATCAGGTCTCTTTTATTAGGTATGGGATACCTAATCCATTCTAAGACTGAATTAAGTGGCTTGTAATTGATAACTAATCTTGGGACTCCTCTTTCTAACTCAGCGTTTTTCTGGACATAGAAAGCAGGGCACGACCAAGGGGACTTACTTTTGCGAATTATTTTCTTCTGAAGCAACTCATGAATTTCTTTTTTACAAAACTCCATTATTTCTTGACTCATTTGGATTGGCCGGGCTTTAGTGGGAATATTTTTCTCACTAAAGGTTTTGATATAGGGGAGACAAACAACATGTTGTTTTCTATACCAAAAAGCATTGGGCAAGTCAGAACAGATCTCATTTTTTACCTTATTTTCAAACTGCTGAATTTGCAACTATAGAGATTTATCGCTAAGCTGTTGTTCAATTCTTTTGAACTTAATTTCTTTTTTAAGAAAATTCAACTGGTTATTTTTTCTAATAATCTGTACTGATTTGGACACTGACTGCTTTTGCAAAGCTTTCAAGTTATGCAACTCTGGTTTAGATAGAAACTCAAATTTAACCTTTTCGCCTAAATAGGTAGAAATGACGCCATCATAATCTACCTGGAAGGGATACAATAAGGCAATAAAAGGTAACCCTAGAATGACTTCGTCAGTGATATTCTTGACCAAGACAAATGAGGTTTTAAAGCAAATTTTATTTTGGCATACATGGGCTTTTGGTAACTCAAAATTTAACTGGAGTGATTTTCCTGAAGTAGTGCTTAAGGATTCTCTAGACTTCTGGTAAAACTTAGTAGGGATTAGACCTTCCTGAATACAATTAAGATAAGCTCCTGAGTCAAATAGGGCAACTGTGTTGAACTCAAAGTTTTGGACAAATATTGTCACTTTCGAATACCATTTTCTAAAATTGACTTGTTTGATCAAATTCACAACTTGTTGGCTATCAGAAGGTTCGTCATCAGAATTGTGAGGACTTTCTGACTGGCTTTTGGACTCAGAAGACTCTTTTTCCATAAGATGGACAAAATCTTGCTTGATTGCATAATTTTCATTTTGTAATTTATGACTTATCTGTTTTAATTCAACTATTTCTTTTTTAACCATTTTTACTTCTAATTGCAGATCTTGTAAGGTAATTTCTTTCTTTTTAGCAAATTTTTCTAAAGTGGTATTTAAACTAATCGCTGGGGAGCAGACTGATTTGGGCTTTCTTGGCTAATGACTTTTCTTAACTTCTTTAGATACTCAGGATTCTCAACTTTGCTTATTAAATCTATTAATAATTCTTCTTGTTCTTCTTGTTTAGTAAGAACAGAAATGGATTTTAATCTATTACAACATTTATCTTTACAACCAATTTGGATATTAGGTGAGCTGGACTGTGAATCTGAAGACTGGTCAGATTCAGAATCAGAGCTGGCCACTATGGTTTCATCATTGCTTGTTTCAGAGTCTCGCAACTCTAAAACCTTTATCAACTTTTCTTTTTCTTCATCTGTAATTTTCAACTGTTTAATAGTATCCTTTACTTTGCGTTCAGAGGCATAATGAACAAACTTTTGACATTTAAAACATTTGACTTTGGTTTTATCATTATTTTTCTTGGAATGATTATTCTTTTGACTTTTTGGGGCTTTCGACCAATTTTTCTTGGGGAAAAATTTCTTTTTTCTATAGAACTCATGATTATCATCATTATGTCGGGAGAATTGTTTTCTACGCGAATAATGACGATGTTTTCGAATGTGACTGGGATAACTAGGCTTATTTTTCCTGGAAGGAGGGATGCTGGCAAGACCATACTGTTCACAGAAATTTCCTAATTCATATTTAGCTGATTTTCTATCAGACTGTATTTGTCTACCAATTTTAAAATCAATACACATTCTCATACCAACTTGGTTGATTGTACTTATGACATTTCCATATGTTAAGCTATCCCCATCTATATGGCCTTGTTCATTACTCAGGGTCGTGCGTATTTTGTGGGCAAACAAATTTGGAAGACCATTAACAAACTTTTCTTTCCAGAAAGGTTGATTACTATCATCCCTAAGCATGACTCGAGAGATGAAGACATCTTTATACCATTTGAAATCAGACAACTTAGGGCATCTAAGATTACTAAGCTGGTCATGGATCCTGGCAGTAGTATTACTAGGGGTTCCAATGAAATGCTCAATTATTGTGTAAAACAAAGTGTTGACTCCGTCTTCTATACCTTGACCTATTTGTTCGTCGAATATAGGGACACCATCTTCATTAAGTTTTACAGCATGAATAATCAGATTTTTGGACTTAGGGGTTAAGTGCTTATCCCACCAATACCTGAGAGTACCGGTAAACCCAGTAACTAACAGGGGTACAATCTCAGATTGTCTGAAACTGTGATTGGTGATGTAACTGTTGGCAACCATGGACATATGTTGTAACTTATTAAAGATTTCTTGCTCAGACAGACCATCAATATTCCATTCGTACAATTTATCAGAAGAAATTGAAAACTGGGTTTGGAAGTTTCTTTCTTCAAACTGGATATCTGGAGGAGTTGGTCTAGGGTACCAATTTTTGGTTAAGCTAGTGGGGCTTATGTGTCTATCTAATCTTTTGATTTTGGGTTCAACTTGGACTTCCAGATTTTTGAAAGCATTTTCTATTTTTGAAATATTACTAGTTTCGGATTCTGTTGTCTCAGGTTCAGACTCAGAGGGGTTCGTGGTTGCAAAAGAATCTAGTGTTTTAAGACCAGATTTTTCAGCTTGACTTGGGGTCAACTGTTCTAACATTTCTTCAATTTTCTTTATTGTAGGTTTAATCTTAAGTGTGGGGCTTGACTTAAGATCTTGGAACTGAACTATTGGTTTTTCAATTTTTGGTTTAAACTTAGTTTCTGGGGGACTTATCTTGTCAATCTTAGTTTCAATTGCATCCAGTTGTTTCCCTATGACAATTAGACTCTGATTGGTATAATTATTCTGCTCAATTAGTCTTCTATTAGTATCATTGCTTTCAAAGGCTTTGAAGGGGCTAGCAGGAATAGGTGTATTCTTATGATTGATGACTATGGTGTCAACTGGGGGATGACTAGCTTCAACTTCTGTTTTGTCTACCATTTTCCACTTTTCTTTAGTTAGAGTTTTTAACTTATTAGACATGTAGCGGCTTTCAATAAAATCAAGGTAGAAAATTTCGACTTTGGCTGACCGCATATAATGTTTCCATTCATTAAAGATTTTTTGACGGCTTTCACTATTAGGGTAAGCTTGGTGATAACTATTTCTCCTATGCTGATTTTCTGGGGTCTTGAGATGATGATTTAAGCGTTTCCAATTAATCTCAAATTTTTTATTAAGGGTTCTAAGTTGATTATCAACTGCTGCAAAATTTTCAACTAGGAAGTCAGATTGTGTAGGTGACTCAGGTGAATCGGACTTGTCGTCTTGGATTGGTACCTTGCCATAACAAGGTTGGTTTACCTGAGAGGATTTTCTTAGGGACTCAAGTTTGAAATCAATCATGGCCTTTTCTAACTCTAGGTCTCGTTCTAGAGTGGAGGACAAGGCTGCAAAGGAGGGCCTAGCAGGAGCATGCCTTTGAGATTGACCAGGAGTCGGCAACTGTTGTAACTGGACATTGGACTTCTTCAGGGGCTGATTTTCAAATCTAATTTTTACTGTACCATCTAGATACTGTATATATAGTATATATATAGTATATATATATATACCTATATATTTTCTTTCCATATTCATGTAAACCCATAATAGGTTTCATGGTAATTTAATCAATGAAAAGTAATAACCTTCAAAGAAAATCCCATATCGAATCAATTTCCAATCTAAACCCACTATACAAGAAGTTCCATAAGATAACATAAAGACAAATCCCAAAATCCCTCCAAATACATAGCTCCACTAACAGTTAAGACTAGTTAATAAGGTAGTTCTAGTACTTCCCAAAGGGTGAAGTTACCTCAGAAGACTCACGGTCAACCGAGGGGTCAAACTATCCAAACATAGTCAACCTGGCCCGTGGGGCCCACGACCTCCGATTTCCGATCCGAAGATTCCTATGAGTTCCACAAGGTTTACTAAGCATGTCCTACAAGTTTGGTTCAAATCGAACGGTCGGAGCGTACGATGGGACGATTATTGTTTACCACAGACTTTAAGTTATTGAATCGGAACATCCGGGCTCCGATTCACGATCCGCGAATTCCTACACCCTCCTAGGAATGCCTAGATCAACATATTTTCAAATGAAGTCAATCCAACGGTCCGAACATGTTGAACCTGGATAACGCTTAATATGCGATATCCGATCAACGGTCAAACGGTCACCAAATTCATATCCGAGCATACCGTTGTGCTCAGAACGACATGGGGAACATTTTTAGGATAAAAACCCAACCTTGACACCCCGCCGACGAGCCGCCACCGCCAGCGGGTGTATTGAGTAATTTTCCGGCGATCGAAAAACTCCAAACCGCTGGCCAAGACTTATACCTACATGATCAGAACATCAAGGGGAGTAACTTTATATCTTGGCTCGACGATCAATTCCACCTTTAAAGCCCTCGAACGAAGCTTTCTGTCTCTTGAAAAACCTAGAAATTCTAGGTTTGAATTCGACGGTTTTGGGATGAAATCAAGTCGGGTCTTCGAGGAAAAATACAAAGGGAAGGTATGGAAGTGTTTTGGAAGTGATTGGGTAGCTGGTAGTGGCCGGAGTTGGCCGGAGATGGCGGCGGAAGTCGCTGAAAATTCTGAAGAATATTTTGGCAGATTTTTGGCTCTGTTTTCGATCATTTTTCCGGTTTTCTTGCTTCAATTTGGGCCTAGAAATTGGTATTAGTGGAAAGAGGAAAGAGAGACGAAGAGTTAGAAAGTTGTGGCACCAGATTTGGTGGCTAGACGGAAGAGAAATCAGTGTTTGAAAAATGGCTGTTCGTCAAATTCGCGAGAGAGAAGAAATCTGGGTTTAAAATCTGAACTTCGAAAAATTTACGATTATGCCACTGAACTTCTTTTGATCGTAACTTCTTCGTTACAACTCCGATTTGAGCCCACTATGTGTCTACGGACTCATCTCGACGTGTTCTATGCAACAGTATAACTGAAATCCCTAAATTCCTTCCCTAATCAAAAGTCAACTTTTAAACCATTAAAATATTCCAGGATAAAATTGTCTTTTACTTGAATAAATTAATAATTAAAAATTAATTTAAGTTCGGGTTATTACATGCTCCGCCCACCCTTTCACTCTCCCTTGGGATGTGCTTGACTTTTACTCTTAAGTTTGGCACCTCATTTAAAAATCATCTGAAGGCTAGTAAATTGACACCACATATATTACCAAGACAAAAACTTAAAACAAGAAGTTTACGTTCTCTTCTCTCTTCAAATCAGGTTTTCAAATTAGGTTCAATTTCTGGATTTTTAGACCAAGTTTTAAAATGGCTCTTTTAAGGATTTTAATTTTTGGAATCCATAATTAAAATCCTTAATCCAACAATTTTAGTTTCTTCCTCATTCGATCCTATAGTTTCTAACAACTATTTTTTCTCATAAATTTGAGCTTTATTTATCGTCTTCTCCTCTAATTCAATGGTCACATATCTTCTTCGTCTGACCAACCTTAATTATTATAACTTCTTGCATATTTCTTGAACCCTAACTCCTAATTCTCAACTCCAGACATCCAATTGTCATCTATGGCTTCCTCATGAACCCATGGCAGTAGTTTTGAATCCACTGCCCTCGCTCATATTTCTGGTCAAGATGTCAAAGAGCATGCCAGAAAAGTTCATGAGGCTTTTGGTGATTATCTAAACAAAGGTTTTGATGAAGCCAGTTCGTGCACTGTTCATGGTCAATCACTTCTGGGTGGTCGATTCCTTAAAGAACTTCCTGTTGAATTTCAAGATTTGATAAAGAAGGCTATCATAGCACCACTCTACTATCAATAATACAATCTAGACTTCACTCTTGGAATAACAAGTATATGAGTAGAGCATTTCCCAAAAGGTAGCTCAATTAAATGGGTTGACTAAATTAAATATTTAGAAGGGGTTGTTTATACCATAATCAACCGAGCATATTTGGCACTAAGGACCAGAGCGCGGACAGATCCATAGCCTGTTGAAGGTAGGACACTTGCTGGGAATCCCTAGATAACCAATGACCTCATTATCTCAGCTATCAAAGACACCTTCCTGCAATGCGCCAATTACCAGCCGAAGGTTATTGCCAAAGCTCTCAATTACATAAGCTAAGCCTTAGACGCATGTCACCACCACGAGAACTTGCACAAAGTCCCACATCGAGACTTTGTGCAAACTCCCACCTTTACCTCTCCATAAAAGAGGAATTGTGCCCAAGTAAAAAGAGTAACTATTTTTCACCTTTACTATTACTCTGCTGCCAAAATTACTGTGTACCCCACATTTATTGACTTTAGCATCGGAGAACCTTTGGCAAGTACTACACTGATGCCTGAAGCTTGACGATTGCTTATTCCATCTTTCTTTTGCAGGATCACTTTCCGACCGAAGGACCCGCCTTGCCAAAAGTTCTCAATTCCCTTTGTCCTGCTAAAGACACCACACTTCCTTTATCTAAGTTGACACCCGATTTTTGGCATCAACAGTTTGGCGCCGTCTATGGGAATCGACTTTTAAATCTCACGCGTCTACTAATTTTGCTGGCTCTTTCTCCTATTCGACCATGTCGCCTCTTCAGTCCATTACACTCTAAAATGCCAAGCGAAGCTAACCTTGGCACTCAACATCACACCCCCCATGTGGAGTCCTCCAGACGAAAATCTTCGACCGATATGCATCTCCAAGGCGAAGTCGAGTGACTTCGTGACGACATTGCCAAAATGACGAAGAACTACAATCACCTCCGTACCAAGAATGTCGAGTTGGAGCATGACTGTCAAACTTTAAAGTGTAACTGAGAGAATACTCACCACCAAATCACCCAACCAACTGGCTATCTCCTTTCACAATGCTCTAACACAGCCTAAGTTTGAAAAGGCAAAGGCCACCTTCATCCTGAAGCAACCAAGTCACGATCCTCCAAATTTCCCACCAAGGGATTGGCCTCATGCCCCAACCAAGATTTACAAAGATTGCCGGAATTGTATCTCGGAGCTCCAGCCAAAGCCCATTCCGATTCTTGTAGATCTCGACGATCCACGAGTCACTAATCTTGGCCCTTCGCTGAAGCCCACCCGTCTCCCTACCTTGGAGGAGGTTGGTGACTCTGAAGATTGGGAACCTTATCACCGTGAGGACTGGGAACCTTACCAATTTGAAGCTTTCGAAGAAAAAGAAACCTATCCATCACTACCCCCTCAAAACCACAAACCTTTGGCACCCGACGCCCTTCCTCATACCACTCTCACCATGTGAATTTTATTTGAGAAAGTTCGTCGTCTCGAGCATGAGCAACAATGCAGCCATCAACCTATTTAGACGAAGCCACGCCCTGGTCCCTTTACCGAGCGTATCCTCACCTACCGATAAGAAAAAGACGTTCAGTCACTTCGTATTACCTTCTACATGAGTAAGGAAGAACCCCTGACCTACATCCACTCCTTCCAATCTGTCCTAGGATGCAATGGTCTTAGTGATGACGGCATATGCCTCATTTTTTCCTCTACCGTCACTGGAGCTGCCTTGAACTGGTTCTATCGGCTAAACCCTAGAACTATCAACTCTTTCGTCTGCCTGAAGCAAACCTTCTTGGACCATTTCATGATTCAAAATGATCGTTTGTATTTCGCGGACAATCTATACTTGATTCGTGAAGGTGAAGACGAACCATTTTGGGAGTATGTTGCCCGCTTTAGACACGAATATTCCCTCTGCCAAAAGGTAGATAACCGTGCTGCTTTCGAAGCCTTCAAAAGTGGCCTTCATGAATCCAACTTCTAATACTTGGTCTATAGTAACCCGTGGAACACCTATGCTGAATTAATGAAGCAAGCTGCCATCCATGCCAAGGTTGAATATTTCAACTCTAAGCGTAGCTTCGTTGGCCAATCATAGACTACCTTTGGCAGCCCACCACAATCTTCGGCACCTCTCGACCCCTTATACCCTCTTCATCGAGTAACAACCCATTCGAAACCCACCCATTACCCTTCTACCCAAGGGCGGAACTAGAAATTTTTCAATGGGTGGGCTAGCTAAAGTTATTAGCCTTAAATCTAATTATAGTTTTTTTTTGTATTTACATTTTCTATAGTAAAATGCTTCTCTTTTGGAGATAAATTAATAGAAATTTTTTAAAATTGATGTTGGGACAAACTTTGACACCAAATACAAATGTGGAAGACCTCTTACTATGCTTATTGGAGTTGAAATTGTATTTATATTTATTTATTTTTAGTTAAAATATTATGCTATATGTATATTTAATTTATTTTTTCCCAAACCTTCCTTGGGCTATAGCCAAGGGCAGCCATTGCCTTGGTTCCGCCCATGCTCCTACCAATAACACCCAAGATGGTCAACACTTCAGAAGAAAGGATGGCTATCAGCGACCTTTTAGCAATGGTAAACGAAGCAGTCACTTCAACAACTATCACTCTGGTGGCATAAACCCTTACAAGACAAACGATCGTGCCCTCTCCCTCTTGTGTCAAAGCCTAGGTTTGAAGTTTTCACAATGCTCAACACCACTTAAGAGCAGGTTCTGGTTAATGAACCGATTATCATACCCCAGCTCCCTACTCGAAGACCCACCAACAAGCCTATGCCACACATCGGTGTCTTTTGCCACTTCCACCAATTCAGTGGCCATGATACCAAATCTTGTACAGCCTTGCCAAATATCACTGAATCCTCATTCAGTAAGGCAAGTTAGATAAATACGTACGCAACGCTCCCACTATACCACACACCCACTAGCGTTAGATCAACATGATCTCAACTATCAGTGGTGGCCCTACTTTGGCTGGCACATCTAACAACTCCATCAAGCATAGATGACAACTATCAGTGGTGGCCCTACTTTGGTTGAAGATGCCCAAGGCTGGTTGGGCACCTATAACCTTAAGTGCAGAAGAAGAGTGTGGTGTCATTTTTCCCCACGATGACCTGCTGATCATTCGGGGTAGATATTTCTAACTTCAATGTTGGCCGTATCCTGGTCAACACAGGTAGCTCAGTGAGTGTCATGTTTGTCGAGGCCTTCATCGAACTTCAAGTCCCTAACAACTTGCTTGACCGAAGCATCACACCTCTGGTAAGCTTCTCTGACGATGTTGTCCAATCCATTGGGAGTATTCACCTACCCATAGCCATTGGTTCAGCACCCTAGAGGGCCATGGTCACCACCCCATTCCTAATCGTAGATTGCCCTAAGGCATACAATTTCATCCTAGGATGACCAGCTTTGGCCAAAATGAGAGTATTCATTTCTACTCACATGCTAATGCTGAAGTTTCCTATCCTCCATGACATGGGCACGGTGCGAGGAGACCAACTCAGTGCCTGGATTTGTTAAACTTCGACAATCAAATCCACCAGCCAGCCCCCACAAGCTAGTACCGAACGCCCTAAAGATCCCAAAGAAGAATCTGTTACCCCTCAGGCCGAACCAGTGGAAGATCTTAAACTTGTAAACCTCTATGATCACTTCCGAGATTGGCAAGTGAAAATCAACATTTCCCTTCTCCCTGATCTTCCCCAAGACCTCATTGCTTTCCACCGCCAGAAATATGAAGTTTTTACCTAGTCATATAGTGACATGCCTAGCATCTCTCCTAGGCTTATCTCTGACAAACTGGGTATTGACCATAACAAATGCCCTATTCGGCAGAAGTGTTGTGCTTATGACCCCGAGAAATATGAAGCCATGAAGAATGAAGTCGAGAAGCTACATAGCATCGGCTTCATTAAGGAAGTAGATTATCCCTCCTGGCTGGCGAATGTGGTAATGGTTCACAAGCCTAAGAAAGGTTGGCACATGTGTGTAGACTATACTAACCTCAACCATGCTTGCCACAAGGATAGCTTTCCTCTCCCCTGCGTCAACTAGCTTGTTGACGCAATCGCAAGCCATGAACCCCTCAAACTTTGTGGACGCTTATTCGGGGTACAACCAAATCTTCATGCACCCTAAGGATCAAGCTCACACATCATTCATCACGAATCAAGGGCTATACTACTACAAAGTGATGCCCTTTGGCCTAAAATATGATGGGGCTACTTACTAGTGCCTTGTCAACCACCTCTTCGCCTCCCAGATAGGACACACCATGGAGGTATACGTGGATGACATGTTAGTCAAGAGCCGAATGGCAAGACAACATATCCTCAACCTCTCCACTATGTTTGACGTGCTGAAACATTACAACATGCACCTTAATCCCACCAAATGCGCCTTTGGCGTAGCTTCAGCCAAGTTCCTTGGCTTCATGATCAACCAGAGAAGCATTGAAGCTAACCTTGAAAAAATCCAAGCTATCTTGGATATGAAGGTGCCGAAGACAGTAAAGGATATCCAGAGCCTTATCGGAAGTGTCGCAGCTCTGACCAGGTTCATCTCTAAGTTTTTGAATGCTCAAGAACACATAAGAAAAACTTTTAAAAACTTGAACGAACCTTGCATCTGATTTTGAAAAATATGCAGTTTCAGTTTTTTAATGAAAACAAATGGTTAAGATCTAAGAGAAAAGCAAGTTGGTATATATAGGAATTTTGAAAACTAGTTTCAAAATAATACCAAGAAGATGAGTGGCTAGGGGAGAAAGTAGAAAGAGCCGTTGGGTTTTTAAAAATCCACAAGAGTTTAAAAGTCAACATCTGTCAAAAGACAGATTTTTTTAGAAAAGATAAACGACGATATGGATTGACTCCAACAAATATGGATCAGTAAAAAACAAGAAGGATTTCTCGAAGGATTATGTGAACAGTTCCGTGGGATGATGCAAAGAGAAATATTGCAGCAAGTACAAAATTTGAAAGATAGGCCAATACAAGTGTGAATGTATTAATACAAGTGAGAATGTATTAATCCTTGTGATTGTTGCACATGATTTTATCTTTGAATTGCAACGAGGAGACTTGGAAGTCCTTTAACCCATACTGATTCTAACTTATAATCTAAGTAATGTTACACTGGTTTTGTTGGTTTAAGAGATGAGCCAAAATATAATGTTAGCCAAATATAATCCTTATAGTGAGGCTAATTTCACATAGAGCCACTACCTCCCTCTCTTTGTAGTGGAAAGATAACGGGTATAAAAAAAAAGCCTTAATCCATTTTATCGACACTGGATTTCAATTTCAAGTTTGATTCTATCATTCTCTCATTGCGCCAGTGTAGGTTTAGCTTAATGGAAAAGAGCCTTAACTTGTAGACAGGAGGTCTTAGGTTCGAACTCCTATGGCATCTTTGTTGTGTGTGTGTGTGAGAGAGAAATTCACGTCCTCATAGTATAGACTATATCACTTGTACTCAAAAGTTTGATTCTATCGTTACAATTTTCATGGGTTAATGTATTAGATTTGGTATGTTTCAAGAGCAACAGCATATCTTTCTTTTTTTTTCTTTTTTTTTTACAACATTTAATTTGGGTTTTTGGGCATGAGGATTGATACTTGATTTTGAAATAATTATAGATGAGTTTTTTGTTATTAAAGTTGATAGAGAGAGGAGAGAGAGAGAGAGAGAGAGAGAGAGAGAGAGAGAGAGAGAGATGACAAGGTGGAGGTGGAGGTGGCTGTGGAGAGAAGGCTAGGGATGGGAGGTCATGGCTGTGGGACTAGTCGGGAAAGGTTATGGAGGGTTAATTGTGAAAGTTTGAGATGCACAATCAAGTCCAACGGGGAAACAATAATTAAGCCAAAAAAAATGAATTCAATAAAAAATACAAACAACAAAACCAAACCAAACAAAAAAAAAAAAAAAAAAAAAAAAAAAAAAAAAAAAAAAACATTGACTTACAATTTAGGGGTGGGCATTTAAACCAGTGAATCGAGTCGCTTTGGATCTGTTATCGTCTCGATTCTTGTCTTGGAAAAATCAGTTTAAACCGAACCAGACCGATTATGTTAAGTTTACTTATTCATTTATATCCAAAATTATTAGTAAGCCTAATTAATATTTAAATAACACTATGGCTCATTTAGGAGTGCTTCTTTCAGAAGTGCTTAGGTCAATAACGTTTATGCCAGTAGCGCTTCTACAAAGAAGCAATTTGTCATTTGGCTGTCACATGTAAACATGCTTTTACACTACATAAAAGTGCTTTTGATATTTTGTTGAGTTTTTGATTGCCATAGTAAAAGCAGTTTTATAAGAAACATAGAATTTAAAAAAATGAAATTAAAACACGACTTAACAAAATTATAAGAATTGCAAAATGAAAAATATGAACTTCACCAAGTATAATTTATAATCATTTTTTGAAAATAAAAATGGAATTAACTAGACATAATCCATCTCTCGTCCATGGGCTAAATTTTGTTCTTCAACCATCTCTTCCCCTCAAGTAACCCCAGACTCGCCAGAGGGAAATAGCTCATCATCGTCCTTATAAGGTTAAAACTCTTGATCTGTCATTGAATGAAATCTTATAAATTTGTGAAGAGCCATTGAAGCAACAACTATTTGTATTTGCTTTTTCATAGGAAAGTTATGCATATGTCGTAGCATTCTCCAACTATTTTTCCAAACACCCAAAGTTCTTTCAATTGTGCTTCCTAAGGATGAATGCCTATGGCTAAATATTTCTTTATTCCCTCTTGGTTGACTTCCATGTTGAAACTTAGGAAGATGATATCGATCACCCTTATATGCCCCTAAATATCCTTTCATGTGTGGATAGTCTACATCCACTAGATAATATTTACTTATAATAACAAAGAACAACATGAATGTTATGGCAAGAATTATGAATTGGCAAGTTCATAGTCCAAAACCATGTTATGTAATGTTTTGGATAGGTCGAGTAAGGTTCAAGTGATGAAGATTTGATTGTAAGTGATGAAAAGGAACAAAGGTTTTGAAGCTCTAAGGCACAAGATTGTCTCAACTCATTATTAGGAAAAGTAAGTTTGACTTAGAGACCATGCATATGCATTCATACATGGTTAGACGTTTTATTTGCGCATTAGGTAACTTGATCTTAAAGTGCTTATAATTGCATGCCATTTTAGTATAATGTTCATCAAGATGTTAGGTTTCTTATGTAAACATTTTTGGTCCAAATTCACACTTTTGAAAGGTCGCGCTAGAGTGGCGGACACATAATTTCACTTTCCTTTTTTGTTATGGAGAGTTTTAAATTGTTTTTTTCTTCCTAATTTTTTTGGAACACATATGGTTGGCATTAGTTTCCTAGAAGCACTGGCCATGTTTTTATTTGTTTATTTTTTTAACTCCATAAATACTGGTTAGGTAAGAATGGACTTTGGAGGAGTAAAATTATGTCATTATCCTTGAAAACACAACTGAAAATCTTATAATCTACGAGAAAACTTGTAAACTTTCTACTTGTTTTTCTTGACTTTTAATCCTAACAATGTACTATAAAATCCATGGCCATGTTAGGAAAAGAATATAAATTTATAGGATTAACTACACTTTAGTGGCTGGGAGGTTTAGTGTCAGTCTCGAAATGGGCCCCAAGGTTTTAATTTCATCAATTTGGTACCCAACATTTCGAAATATTACCAATTGACACCAGCCGTTACATTGACCGTCAAAGTCAGCCGTTAAATGCTGACGTGGCAGTCGTGGGACCCACCTCATAACCAAACAGCAGTTAGAAAGGGATGAGACGATGGGCAATTTCGGAAAAAAAAAAAAACACCCACAATCTGGCTTCGATTACCAGGTTTTGAAAAATCGAACAAAATCAGATTGATTGGATTCGTGTTTTCGGGAGCAAAGGAGCGAGAAACAAATTGGAGGGAAACTGACGAAGAGGATTCGATTGGCTGGGCGAAATGAATGAAGAGGCGCCGATGTGTTGGTGCGGAAAGGTTGCTACAATTCGAACCTCTTGGACAGATTCGAATCCTGGGAGGCGATTTTCCATGTGTGCAGCAAAGGTACGTGAGACTAAGAAGGGTTTTAAGGGCTGTCAATTCTGGGCATGGTTTGATCCGGCCATGTGTGAACGGTCGAAGGCAGTGATTCCTGGGCTTCTAAAATCGCGGAATAAGCTGGAGAAGTCAGTGGCAAAGGCAAGACAAAGAGAAAAGGTCGTTTGGGTGTTGTTGGTGGCTTCGTGGGTTCTATTTGCAAGCATCATTTTGGGAGGGATGTCTGGATGTGGAGTGAACAAAAAGAGGAGCTTGGAATTAGCTTCTGCCATTGAATGAATGTATTGCTTGTGGGTTGGTTAGGGTATTTTCTGTGATTTAGTAAGTGTTGGGTTGTTAGTAGCATTTTGTAATGGTTTAATTGTTATGTAAGGGTTTAGGGTTATAGGGTTTTAGGGTTTTAGAGGTAAGGCTTAAGGGCTTAATTGCTGACTTTTTGTAAGTTGATGAAGTGAATGGAATGGCCAAAATTTGTAGAAAATGGTTTAGGGAAGTTGTAAGTTGTAAGTTGTAGAAAATGGTTTAGGGAAGTTGTAAGTGAATGGAATGACTTTTTGTAAGTTGTAAATTGATGAAGTGAATGGGAAGTTATAAAATGGCTTAGAAAATGGATGCACCTGGAACAGCCTGCTTGAATGACCAAAATAATGAAGCAAAGTGGCAACCCAAAAACTCAGAAAATTATGCATTCAAAATGGGCTGAAAATAGCCAGATAATAACATTGCATATCGTACATATTTCATGTCCATTCAAAACATCATCTTCAGTGGATATATTTGCATTCACAGTGGTTGAGGCTTATGTGAATGCCATTACATCCATCAAAAAAAGTCAGCACTTAAAGTTATACAGGACCTATTTATCAAAAACAAAAACCTCCTAATCACAAACTGTCAGTCTAACAAATCAGACCAAAATCATCAAATAGCTCTTTCAGTCAGCTTCAATGCACAACATTTGATCCTGCAGTTGAAACAGAAGTTGATGCATGAGGACATGAAGGGAAGGTGGTTGTGCTGCAGAAGTGGCATGTCCTTTCTTACTTGGCTTCCCTTTTTGCACACGCCTTGGAGGCTTGGATCTTTGCTTTAGGGTGCTTGGACCACCAGCTAGAGTGGATGTGTCAGATGGAGTGGTCTACAACATAAAAACTACATCAGTTTGCAACAAAAGCTTAAGGTTATTAAGGGATAGAATTGAACAAGATTGAGTTGCTATACCTGGGTATTTTCAGTACCCCTCTTCCTCTTAGTTGCAGGTTTGGCTTTTGGGGGAAGATTCCTATGGCAAGTCCTCTTATTGTGCCCTTTTTTACCACATTGGCCACATTTGAGAGAGTCCTGTGTGTTGGGAATGCGAGACAATGTAGTTTCAGATTGGTTGCTTGATGCTCTCATCTTCATCTTGCCCTTGTACTCTTCATGTTCTTTGTTTCTACATTTTCTTGGCCTTCCAGGCTGTTTAGAGTAAGAAGGAGGAAGACATGGAGGAAAGTCACTCCTATCCCACATATCCATCCCATTCATAGGCAGTATGAGATTCTCATATGTCTTCAAGTAAGTTGTTTTCAAATAGCAGTCATCCACAAAATCCAAGACATTAAGACCCCCTTTATAATTTATGGCTGCAATACCATGAACACAAGGGCATCCCTGCAAATCCCAAGCTCTACAAGAACAAGTTCTCAATTCCAAGTCCACAATATATTGTGCATGGCCACCAGCTGACACTTGGAATTTACCTCCACCTGACCACATTGCCACACAAGCACCTGCCTTGGCTTTATTTCCCTCCACCTTCTTAAATATCCTTGGGCAGATAGGCTTGTTCCATTTCAGCATTTTGTCCCTTCTTCCTTGTATTCTCCTCATTAACTTACATCTAATATACTCAAACATTGACAGAATTGGTCTATCCCTACATTCCAATATGGTAGCATTGAAAGACTCGCAAAGATTATTCAACAACATGTCACACTTCAAATGAGTGTTGAAGTGTGACTTGGACCAATGCCTTGGAGGTTTATCAGGACTGGTTAGCCATTCATATGCATCATTTGACAGTTTTTTCAGGTCTTCCATGGCCCTTGTAAAGTGGGGGACAGTGGTTGCATATGATGCTTCCCAAAACTTGTCTCTGAGGCTTTTTGCTTTGAAAAGCAGACTATAGTTGGAAAACAGGTGTCTTGCACAGAACCGGTGGTCACAATTAGGGACCACTTGCTCAAAAGCAGGCAGTAAACCTTTTTGTTTGTCGGATATAAAGGTGAACCCAAATTGATTCACAATCTCACAGTCCTTAACCAATAGCTCTAGAAACCAAATCCAAGATTCCTTGCACTCTGATTCCACAACTGCATAAGCAATTACCCAGGTTTCATTATTGGCATCTATACCCACAGCAGTTAACAATTGCCCTGCATAAACACTCTTCAAAAAGCACCCATCTAAACCTATAATAGGCCTGCACCCAGCTTTGAAGCCTTCCTTAGCAGCTCCTAAACAAACATACAACCTTTGAAACTTTGGTTGCCCCAGCTGTTGTTGGAAATCACACTTAACCATTGCTGTGGTTCCTGGGTTACTCTTCCTTAATTCCTCACAGTAATCCCAATTCTTGAATATTGTTCATTGAAACTGCCCTCAATCAGCTTTAGTGCCTTCTGTTTTGCCCTATACACTTGTTGTCTTGACACCCCTGTATTATAATCCTTCTCAACAGCCTGCTTGAATGACCTGACTGGCCACTGGGGATTGGACTTCAAACTGTCAACATATTTCTTGCTTATCCATGTTGACTTCACAGTAGGGTTCTCCCATACCTGTGTACATGTGTGCTCACCTACATATGTCTTCACTTGCAATGTGTTGTCATGTTGCATTTTTGAAGCATATATCATCCACCCACAATCTGGGTCCCCACAAACTGCCTTCAGCTTCAAAGCCGCATTCCTAATAAACACTACATCCCTATTCTGCAATATGGAGTATTCTCTGACAGCTGCCCTAAACACCTTACAATCACTAAACAACATCCCAATCTCAAACTTTGGATCTGCCATGTCAGTTGCAGCATTGAATTCTGGCCAATCTTATCAACTTCCTGTCAGAATTATACTTGGCATAATCCCTGCACTCAGAATCTTCAGAATCCAATTCAACATCTGTAGGCCAATCAGGAGCAGCCTCATTCCCAGTTTCTTTAACCCCTGTCCATTCAGTTTGGTCATCCACCCATTCATCAAAACAAACATCATCTTGATCTTCATCTTCATTGAAGTTTTTGGGAATCATATAATCTGAGTCCTCACTATCACTATCACAAGCATCATCATCTTCATCTTCAAAGTCTGCAGCATTTGCCATTATTCTTCCACTTCTCAACATCATGGAATGCCTTTGAACCTCGGTCCTGACACCATCAACCCTTCCTTCCACAACTTTGTCTTTATGGTGAACAATCTTTGTCCTCCTCAAACTGGAGCATCTTTTTTTACCAAATGCACGCTTCACCCTATGTGACATCTCTTTATCCTTGCCTTTGCCTTTATCAGAACAACCTTGACTTGGCTTTTCTTGGCCCTTGTCAAAATTCTCCTCATTATTCACAGTGGCAGTTTCTTTGCCTTGTTTAGAAGCTTCATCAATCAACCCATCTTCATTCAGCCCTTCTTCATTCAACCTTTCTTCATTCAGCCCTTCTTCATTCAACTCTTTGCCTTCTCCACCTGCTTCTTCATTCAACTCTTCTATTACAACACTTGTTTTTTTCACCTTTGCACCTTACCAACTCCCCCACCCACTGGAACAATGGCACCATAATTGTCATCAAGCTCTTGTAAAACTACCCCAGTATTGGTCCCAAAATCTTCATCCAGATTTATAAATATGTTTGAACCCACTTGACTGTAAAACTGCTCTTGACTGCATGCCAACACATGTTCTAGGAATATATTTATCACCCTAGTGTCTGGCACAAATACTAGCATGTCTAAGACATCTGTATCCTCACTCAGCTTAACTAGGCCACCATCAAAACTATCACCTGGAATACTGTACCAGTAGTTAATCAAACCTTCGTGCCCTAACTCCTTCACCATGGCATCTATCTCAGTCATTGACATTCTATCCTTATCACAATAATCAAACCAATCCACAGACCCATTCACATAATAGTTACCTCTTATTTCACCATTGTGGTACATTTGAATAGAAAATCCTACCTCATCCCCTGCAGGTCCAAAGCCACACATGAATTTTACCAATTTTACCCAAAAATAATACATGTACTCCTGTTTACAAATACACACATACAAATACATATACATATACATATACATATACATATATACAAATGCAGATATACTAACAGACAAATACAAACACACATATACAAATGTAGGTTTCTATGTCAGTCCACACATAAACAAAAGGTAAGATTCACAGTGGTTGTAGGACCACATACAAAAGGCAAAGTTTACTTCCGCATACCACCTACCATTCACACCATTCCATCCACCAATTAAATAGACAAAGTGATACCGACACCTAACTCGAAACTCACAATCCATTATAAAAGCCAAACTTTCAGTCGACACCAAACTCGAAACTGACTCTATTTGAACAGTAAGCCATACGTACCGTAGAAAGGTTCTCCATATCCTTCTGGACGAAGTCCCCAACTCATATTCTTCAGATCTTTCGGAAACCTCCGATTTAGTATGTTTTTTGCAGTCTATTTCAAATTTCTGCACTCCAAAACACGAACAAACCATCAAACCCTCAAACCCTCTCCTCTATGTCTGTCTGTCTCTGTACACGAACAAATCTCAGAAACTGAGTTTGTTCGATTTTTCCAATCCTGGTAATGGAAGCACGCACGCCTTGGAACACGTGTTTTTTTTTTTCCGAAATTGCCCATCGTCTCGTCCCCTTTCTAACTGCTGTTTGGTTATGAGGTGGGTCCCACGACTGCCACGTCAGCATTTAACGGCTGACTTTGACGGTCAATGTAACGGCTGGTGTCAATTGGTAATATTTCAAAATGTTGGGTACCAAATTGATGAAATTAAAACCTTGGGGCCCATTTCGAGACTGACACTAAACCTCCAGCCACTAAAGTGTAGTTAATCCAAATTTATAGTACTTCGTGGATGTCTACAAAAGTACAACCATGTAACATAGAGTTCAACAATTAATATAGTTTATTTTATAAATTGATTTCAACCAATTACATAGACAAAACTTGAGGTGAAATTTTTTTATAGATAAAGACTTTCAAGCTCTCAAATAAATGTTGATGCGCATTCACCAATTCTATGAATCAAAACATTAAAACTATCAACTTCAATTGATTTTTAAAAACTAGGCATAAAATACGGAGGAATTAACCATAACTTGCTATCATAATTCATATAAATAAAACCGGCAACTCATAATGAACTTGAGTAAAGCTACAATGAGGTGACATATCGAAATCATAAGAAATAAAAAAAGTCTAAAACGGTTCTCATAAAATAAAAAAAATAAAAAAAGTCTAAAGTGGTAACTTTAGATTTATAAAAGTTTTAAAAAAAAATGCAATTGTGAAATTCATAAGCATGTCATAGTCAAATAGAATAAACTCAATTAAAAATAACATGTCAAATCATATACCAATTGCCCAATAGGAAGCAATTGCATTTGCATTAAATATTAAATATTAAGCAATTGCAATTCCAATTGCCCAATAGGAAAGGGCATAATTACACAACCCTTAACATGTCAAATCATATACCAATTTTTATAAAATCTGGGCGCATGAGTACACCTGGTGCCCTATTTACGTTGCTGCCTAGAAACTGTGTTCGGAGGTTGGAAAAAGAAACATCTAGATAATGTGTTACACATGTCCGCTAATCAGAGGCAAACACAAATGAGAAAATCAAATCAAACCACAGATGCATAGGCGTAGGGCTTAGGGATATCCCTACATTAACTCGCAGAACAACTTCACAAGTAGCCTTAACTTATACTTCATCCTAAAGTGTGACGACAAGGACGATCATTGACTTGTTGCACAGGTGTGTAGGTCCTTCTAGCAGATTCCTCCTGCACAAATGGATGATTTAAGAGCTCGATAGCAGTGGGACGATCATGTGGATTAACTTGCAAGCATTTCTGTATAAAATCTCGTCGATGCCTCGGGAGAGAATCAGGAATCTCAGGGGGGTTTCCATGAAAGATGTTAAATAACGCACTGTTCTGTCAAAGAGAGGATGCATCAGTCAGATCTATTAGATCTATCATCATCATCATCTTTTTGAACCATAAATAATACAAATTTACTTCAATAAAACATGATACGGACCCTTTCTTGCTTATCGTATGGAAACTTCCCGGTTAACATCTCCAACACAGTGCAACCAAGGCTCCATATATCAGCTGCAATCCCATAACCTTGGTCTGTTGTGTTAACAACCTGCACAAGCATAATTCTGAAAAATTCAGACACGACAACAAACTCCATGATTTTAAAATTTTAAAGTCTAGGCATGATCATAAATAAAGAACATCATTAGATCCTTTACATCTAATACAAAAAAAAATGATATTCAATCTAAGAGCCCACATATCATCTTAGACAATTGTGGGGTAGTCCACAAATATTGTAGAAAATTCCTAGAAGACTTGATAAGAGCTCATATCATCATAGACGGTAACAGAATACATATTATATCACTACTAGAAAAAAGGGTAAAAGACACAGTTTTCGTAGCCACAGCATGCAAACAGTGGCTATTACTATAAGAATTCTGTTGGATATATAGATGTCTATCTCATTAAAGTGTGGTCTTACAATCATCAAAGGATTCTAGGACTTGATATCAATTAGGAGTTCAAATACAACTAAACCTGCAGCTCTATTGGTGTTTTAAGGCTAATATAAAAGCTAGACGGATTCCTATTTTAATTGTGGATTAGAAGTTATAAACCTAATGCAATAAGGACTTCTTAAGAGTTTCTTGATGGGCAAGACTCTTAGGTAGATGCATATAAATACAAGTTGCCCCTGCTCAACCGATCAAGCCAACCAACACAAAAGAATTCATCCCATCTAGAATGAGTGTATAAAGGGTCGGATTGAGGAGAAGAGCTCTTGTATATGTTCTTGATAATATTTTCTAGGATGTGTTTTTCTTTTCATAATCTTGCACTCAAAGTTATTTAATATTTGTGTTTCATTAGTGTTTGAAGCAACCATAAAATCAATCGGTGTCAAAAGGAGGAGCTTTTGAGAACTACACTACGCAAATATATAATAAGAAAACCTCAGGAGCCATCCAGTATGGAGTTCCACGGCAAGAATGATTGTTGTTCCCTTCGGTTATCTGGGGGAAAAAATTCACTATCATGCATTCTGGAAATTATTGAAGGCAACAAACAGAAAATGTTTGGAGCAATGAAAGACAAACCTTTGCCATCCAAAATCAGCAAGCTTCACAGAGCCATTTGCATCCACCAAAATATTTGCGCATTTAATGTCCCTTATTACAAAAAACGAAGAGATTTGAGAATGGGGTTAGACAGATATGGACATTGTTAACCCACAGCCCCTCTTCTTTTGTTTCTCCTTTTTTAGGATGACTCTTTACATGATATGGTGATATTCCAAGTAACAAATACTCAAAGGGAAATACAGAATCTTCTAATAATCTAACATCATTAACCATAGCTATACATCATGTCACATGAAGTACCTGTGAATCACATTATGGTCATGAAGATACTTCAAACCTTGCAGGATCTGTCTTGTGTATTTAGAGACAGTAGAATCTGAGAGACTTTCTCCTAAGCCATGTAATGTCGAATAGAGTTTATATATGCTTCCCTGGGTTACAAGCTCCAGGAAGATATAAATTTTTGATTCGTCCTGCAAAGATTATTTAGACAATAATGTATATAAACAACAAAATGGTGCACACAAACAAGTAGATCTGAGACAAGTACAGGGGCTATGGAGATCCAATGCCTAATAACCTAATGTACGGTATGAGAAAATTTATGTTCAACAGGAAACCATAGTGAAGCATCAGAAAAAGCAACAAGAGAATGAATCCTAAGTTAATAGTCCAAGTGTTTCACAAGCCAATATACTGACTAGCATTTCATACTAAATACTTTTGGATACAAGAGAAATACATCAAATATACTACGGTTAGCTGCTTCAACATCTTCAGGTAAATTGTGACAAGAAGTCAACGATTGATATTGCTCATAATCCAGCTCAACAAAACTTGTTGAGGTGGATAGACATTTCATCAAAGAAAAATTTAAGAACAAGATCATCTGCCAATCCTTTGTAAAGTCAGAAGATCAGTTAGCAGATGTCTTGACAGAGGATGTCATCAGAGTGTTTCATGACTCACTTACCAAGTTGGGCATTAGTGACGTGTATACACCAACTTGAGAAGGAGTGTTGATGTGAATTAACCTAACAAATCAAGGAATTTATTTCCTAAGTTAATTAGGTGATTTATTTACTTCTTTCAATATAGTCGACAATTCTTGTATAATTAGGGGATATTCTCCTATTTAATTCATGTATCTAATTCCTTGTAAAGCACACTTGTAAACTCCTATATATTCCTCCTTACTGAGAAGAATACCATCATAAAAAAGTATTCAAACCATAGTCATATTTTAGCACATCTAGTTGTTGCTAATGTGGTGAGTGTTAGGTTGACGCAGTGTATAGGTTGTCACAAGTGAGAATTAATATGAATGATATTTGATCTAATTAAGTGTATCTTTCTGGATTGTTTTTTGTGCTTGTGGTATAAGTGTCATCCATGTCATAACTCACTCAGTTTGTGAGTGTTGATTTTTTCAGTATTTTTGAGTCATTCCTGTTTCAACGGAGAAACAAGCCGAACTTCCAAAAGCACACCAGATGTTGTTGAGGATGTTTTGGATGTCAAAGAGGTGATATTGAGGTGGGGCGATTCTTATTGAAATGGTTACGTAAACATGCCATGATAGTACTTGAAGTTATCAAGGCTTTCTCGCTGGAGTTGACTTCTTCCAAAGCTAAAATGACCCCGCTTGCTAGTGTTCTAGTTAATAACAAAGAACTAGTAGGGTCAGGATATTATGAAGTCTTAGTAAGGCTAGGATTTATTAATAGTTACGAACTAGGAAAGCCAGGGCTACATTATTTTAATATAAATAGCCTATTAAGAGACTTAAGTAATCCGTGTTTATGTATATAATTCCGAAATTTAGATTGAATAATTTCCCTTGGGATTCTTTCCATAGAACTATAACTCAATTATCTTCAGTCCGACTTGAATTTAGGGACGGTCCTGGCATGGTGCAAGTAATGCCATCTCATAGGTTCCACAATTTTGGAGGGCCACCAAATTTTTTTTATGTATATATATGTAAGCATGTAATATATGTAAGCATGTAATATATGTACTAATTATGTGCTTGGTGAAGTTGGTTTGTTGTCTTCAATGAATATTTTAGTGATCATTAGTATCTTTATAGTTGCATGAAAAAAAAAAAAAAAACAAAAGGACAAGCAGCACCTAAACCACTATAGCCGTGCACATATGAAACTCTACTTATCAATCTCAAATTTAAAGTGCTTTCTCCCACCCAAAACCAAAAACAAAACAAAAACAAAAATTTAATGTCGGTTCGTTTGAGTGTACCCGTTTAAGTTTCATACAGAGTCCTTAAAATATCAGAATTCAATACTATAAAAATGCTTTATAGGGACTGTGGGAGCAGATATTTTCGTCTCTAATCACAGCACGCCACGTGGAAAAGAAGATTATCTCTTTTAATTAATTAATTGAACCAGTTTATCTGGCCAATTAATTAATTGGGATAAATATCTTAATTAAATGATATTATCTTTATTTAATAAGATAATATCATTAATTAAGATATTATCCTAATAAAGAGAAGATAATGTCATTATCTCAGATATTATCTTCATAAAAAGAGATAATACCATTTAATTCAGATATTATCTCCATAAAAAGAGATAATATCATTAAATCAGATATTATCTCAGTCCGACTCGATCCCTACGAATTTGGGTAGAGAATAAACTCAGCATATTCTCTACGAAACCCTAGCCCCGAGGCTCCTATAAATAGATGACTTCATTCATCATTCAAGGTACATCTAAACCTACTCATTATACCCGAGAAAAATACCCGAAGCTCTTTCTCCCTCTCCACTCTCCATATTTTCTCCACACGGCTCCGGCCACCACACACGGCTCCGGCCGCCCGGTTCACACCCTACATAAACACTACTACGTACCCTTTGCTTAGCTATTGTTTTTCTACAAACACTCGAACTAACTTAGGCATCGGAGGGCCTTTGGCCAACACCCCCCGGGTGTGGTCTATTTACTCCAATCTGTTTTATAGGAATCGAGGAAGAGAGAGAAGGAAGATCGAAGGTTGAAGGATCTAGAAGCGAATATTCTCCCGTGAGATTATTTGCACAAACATTTGGTGCTTTCATTGAGAGCACGAGTTATACTCAACGCGTGCTCAAGGAATTCGTTCCTCCTATTGTCCAATCCACCGAAGCCTTCCAAACAACCATGGTTGGAAGCAAGCGCACGAGGAGCAAAACCGCCGCGATGGCTAAATCCGCGACGACCCAAAGCCACTCCACCCACGATCCCGCGATCGACATGGTGGCACCACCACCTCTCACCACCGTGCCACCTACCAGACCCGCAGTCGGATCTAGCAACCTCCGTGGCACCGCCACCGAGCATGGTGGAACCTCCTATCAAGGTGGGCTCGTTACCACCACTAACTTAGGCCCAGTCTTGGAGCAACTTCAAGCATTCCCTCCATTGTCTCCAAGCTCGACGCATGCTCCTGCATACAGATCCAATGAAACCCTAGCCCATGTGCAATTGGGCTCCACACACTTCTCTCCTCCCGATCCACGAAGTCAAGCAGATCTTAATATGAGAGTTGATCAGCTAGCTCAGAGGATGGACGACCAAACCAATCTGATGAGGCAGATCCTTCACCAAATAAACTTGGTTCAAAACCATGACCTTGGACAACTGGGCGAAGAGAGAATGATAGATGAACGCACCTATCGGTAGCTCGATGGGTACCAAGCAGGTCGAGCAAGAATGGGCAGACAAGGAGAGGGACAACAACGTGATCAGCTTGCCGGCATGTCACAAGCATCTGCAAGCCACACACAAAGCAACGTGCGAGAAAGACTCGGCCCACGACTTGAAGTTTGCGCTCGCCTGGGCCCGCAGGGAAATGTTCATGAAAGACTAGGTTCCCAGCAAGGTCAAACTGACAATCGCCGCAATGAGGATCATGAAGAGAGGCGCTCCGCTACCCACTCGCAGAGAAATATTCACGAAAGGCTAGGCCCCCAAGGAGGTCAACTTGGTAACCCGCACAATGAGAACCGTGAAGAAAGACACTCCACTGACCGCTCTCGAAGAACCAATTCTCATCGCCAAGTTACAGAAAATCCCTCGCAAGCATGGTCCACCAACACACCGCCTAGGCAGCGCAGCCGAGAAGATTAACCCTTGCAAACCAACGAGGAAGTTACTCGATCTCGCCCAAATCGTAAAGGTCATCAATGTGACCGACTAGCCATGTGTGCGGAAGACGTTGAGAAACTTGTGAATAACCAACTTCGAGACTTAAAGATTGGTGGAAATTTCGAAGATGCACTACGTGTTGAGGTAGACCGAGCAACTCATCACCTTTCACCGTCGAAATTGAGCAGGCTGCTCCCCCGAAACGATTCTCAACGCCCTCTTTTACATGCTTCAAAGGCGATTCCAATCCCAAAAGCCATCTGAAGCATTTTAAGAGCCTTATGATCCTCTACAAAGCCGAAGACGCACTAATGTGCAAGGTGTTTGCAATGACTTTGCAAGGAGCAGCTCAGGACTGGTTCCACACCCTGCCATTCGGGTCGATCAGCAGCTTCAAGGAGCTTGCTTATGTCTTCACTAAGAATACACTTCTTATCGGTCAATCAAGAAGAATCCTGACCATCTGTTCAACCTGCACAAGAAGTCCAATGAATCCCTGCGAGACTACATCAAGAGGTTCAAGGCGGAGAGGGCAAACATTGTAGGATGTGATGACCAAATTGCGTTCTCTGCCTTCAAGAGGGGGTTGCCAACTGAATGTGAGCTGTATCGTGAGCTGACCATCTATCCTCGCCAAACACTGGTAGAAGTCTTCGCTATAGCAGAGCGCTACGCATTATGGGACGACGACCGGATCGCCACGAAGAAGGCTGATCAAGTAGCTGAGCAGGCAAGCCAAGAGAACGGCAAGGTGCTTCAGCAGCAGAGAGCTACACCAGAGTTCACTATTCCCGATACACTAGATCCTGGCCCAAGTAAAAGACATGCCTTGGTTGAAGAAACCATCGCCTTTAAAGGGAAACCCAACCAAGAAGGATACCAGTAGATACTGCACATTTCATGAAGGGCATGGTCATTACACAAACGACTGCTTCGCCTGGAAAAGGCACCTTGAAGATCTAGTCAGAGACGACCATTGCACAGAATTCATCGCAAGGAGGGCTATCCAGCAAATCAAGGATTGTGACACAGCTAACGATGAACCTTCACAAAAAAGGTCATATGGATCAACACGATCCTAGCTGACTCCAAAAGCCCAGACTGACCACCAGGGGGCAAAAGAGAAAGATCAAGCAGGCGACTTCTGTCTCCTAAGCCGTCACTAGCTACCAAGTTGTGGAAGACGAACCTTTCATCATCTTTCAATGGAAGGAAGTTTTAAAACAATGAAATACCCATCACTTCCAAGGGTACTATCCATGAAGCTCTTCACCTATCAGCTCGGCTCTAAGCAGGCGACCCAGCCTTCCTCACCT